TGGAGTATTGTACACAGTACTGGAAACAGTATCTCCAGAAGGGGTCCACAAACTCCGCCCCCCAGATGTTGCTGAACTACAACTCCCATGATTCTTTGAATTACATAGATAGCCAGAGAATCATGGGAGTTGTAGTTCAGCAACATCTGGGGGGCCGGAGTTTGAGGACCCCTGCTTTAGAGACAGCTCACAGAAGGGCTACTAAACTGTTTCATGGATTGCAGGATAAAACTTACAAGGAAAGGTTAAAGGATCTTAACATGTATAGCTTGGAGGAAAGACGAGACAGGGGGGTATGATAGAAATATTTAAATATATAAAGGGAATCAACACAATAAAGGAGGAGACTATATTTAAAAGAAGAAAAACTATCACAACAAGAGGACATAGTCTTAAATTAGAGGGGCAAAGGTTTAAAAATATCAGGAAGTATTACTTTACTGAGAGGGTAGTGGATGCATGGAATAGCCTTCCAGCTGAAATGGTAGAGCTTAACACAGTAAAGGAGTTTAAGCATGCGTGGAATAGGCATAAGGCTATCCTAACTATAAGATAAGGCCAGGGAATAATGAAAGTATTTTAAAATTGGGCAGACTAGATGGGCCGAATGGTTCTTATCTGCCGTCACATTCTATGTTTCTATGTTTATTGCTAGACCTTAACATCCATGAACAGATCAAACAATCGCTTTCGGCCTACTTTGTGGAAAATACTTCGGACGATATCTCTAACGTAACTAGTTGGGAGGCACACAAACCAGCTATACGGGGCATGCTGTTCCACCTGGCCTCCAAAAAAAGAAAGATTCAGAATTACTGTTAAACTCTCTGTTTGACACATATCCAAACTTGAGGCTCAACACAAAAGGTCCGGCATGGTGCAGGTCTATAAGGAGTTACTTGACGCTAGGCAAGAACTGGTGATCCTCCTCACCCAGCGACACTACCAAGCCATACAGAGGTCAAATTTTTTTTTATTACATCCACGCCAACAAGGAAGGTAAACTCCTCGCTTCCATGCCGTGTGGCCAACAAACGCTGAACCATGTACACATACTAAGTTGCGTTCCGGTGGAACATCACAACTCCCTACAGAAATCGCGAAAGAATTTGAGCATGTCTACTCGTCCTTATACAGCCTACAAGTTGCCAAGGATCGTGGCAACCCTCAAGATGTGACAACAAATACAGCAATACCTAAACGAAGTCCCCCCAGCGGATATCTCCCCAACAGATGAAGAAGAGCTGTGATTCCCTATTTCTGAGGAGGAAGTCAAACTAGCGACCAAAACCGCAAAGATGAGCAGAGCGCCTGGACCAGATAGCCTGACATTAGAATACTATAAGAAATATGGAGAAATCCCGCGACTGACCAAAGCTTTTAACCGCTTGATAGACGGGTGTCAATTCTGCCCGGAATCACTTGCGGCCACAATAGCTGTCCCTAAAGACCCTGAGAAGGGTGGGAGCTACAGGCTGATCACACTCCTGAACCTGGATGTCAAGCTACTCACGAAGGTCCTCTTCACCAGGTTGTGCCGGGTGATACGAAACTCGATACAACCGGACAGGACAGGATTCATTTCGAAATGCGAGGCGAGGGATAGCACCCTGCGACTACTGACCCATCCAACATTTATCCTTATTGCTTCTCCCGACCGATGCAGAGAAGGCTTTTGACCAGGTGGATTGGACCTTTATAGTGGAGACGCTACGGGCCAAGGATTTTGGAAACAATCTTGTGACCTGGATTGCAGGGCTATACAGCATGCCTAATGCCCGGGTCCGCGTTAATGGAGCTCTCACGGACACCTTCCAGATCCGCAGCGGGACTAGATAGGGTTGCCCACTCTCCCCTTTAATATTCGCGCTGACCCTGGAACCGCTTCTGCGAAACATACAAGGAATTTTGTTAAGTTGAGTTTTAGCCCAGATAACACCCCATATTTCATAATAATGAATGGACGCCAACGCAAAATTGCAGTATATGCTGATGGCCTCCAGTTTTTTTTATCACACAGCCCCGAACCATGCTACCATGCGCGAGATTATGAAATATGGGGTGTTATCTGGGCTAAAACTCAACTTAACAAAATGTGAATTCCTCAGTACCGGAGGAAGACAACTGAAATCAAACTTCCCGTTTAAATGGTACGATACCCAGATGTAATACTTGGTGATATGAGTGTCTAGGGACCTAGCTGACCTTTACCGGCGGAACTTCACACCACTCCTCCAACAAATTCAACTGGACCTGAAAAACTGGAAATCCACAACACTCTGGACCGTATCGCGGTTATCAAAATGAATATCCTACCCAGATTACTTTATATGTATCAGACAGTACCAATAGCTCTTCTGACAACATTCATCTCCTCACTGCGATCCTCCATCTCACAATATGTTTGGGGAGAAGTGAGACCGCGGCTGAGATAAAACCTTCTCTGCCTTGCCCTACCTGACCTTTGCAAGTACCATCCAGCGATGGTCCTTCAGAGAATCTTGGATTGGCATGTAGCTTTAATTCACAGACAGTGGGCATCTTTAGAGAGGAGGGCAGATGGCTCAGCCTTGCATGCAGCAGTGTGGAACCCTGGAGACCACAACATGTCTGAGGAGGAGAGGCACTCTACAATGGCTCAAACTCTTCGGAAGTGGAAGCAGATACGAGATGTCCAACACTTGTCACCAAAACCGAGCCCCCTCATTCCTCTGACATTCCTCTGACAATCCTCCACAATCCACTGCTAGTTTACTCCCAGGGGGAGCGTGGCACTACTCGGGACATGCGGCATATGCTTCGCTAAAGAACAGTATCAGCGATGTGTTGGGAGTTGCCATGAAGCAGAAGGCACGGTGAAGCACCTGTGGTGGGAATGTATATGGTATCAGACCATTCTTGGAAGTGATCAGAGGTCAGATCAAAGACATTCTGGGGGAGGATGTCCCATTGGACATAGTCAACATGTTACTACACTCTACGCCTTTATCAATCGACAACTATAAGAAATCGGTACTTCGACACCTGACTGTAGCACAATCCTTGATCCCAGCGCTTTGGAAACAACCCACGACTCCCACGTTGGAACAAAAGGATGGATAGAGTGGAGGAGATTAAGGCAGCTGGCATCACTTACGAACAGTGGCAAGCACGATGGCAGCCGTGGTTCCTATATCTGGCTGACCAGGGGGCCCAGATGACACTTTGAGCGTGTGAGAGGGAGCCCGCAGGAAGTGCCTTATCACCTTCATACCTTGATTAGTCAATCTTTACACCTACTGAGTTTACCTTACCCCTCACACCTTGTTTTCTCTATTTCTTCCTACTTTTCTACCATTGAACGGGACATTAACCGAACACGTTTGGCTGCAATTCACGGCCAACTGCAACTCCGATAAGAGATGGTATGGCTGGGGGAGAGTAGTTAGGGCACAGTAATCCATGCCAGAGTAGTTAGGAAGCTGAGAGACCAGGTTCAGGGAATAGGCAGTAACCCGAATGGGTTGACATGGACCTTAACTGACCCCCATCTGCACAGTTCGCTCAGTGAAGGGGAAAGGTGTGCACAGCCAAATAGACTGCTATATACCCACCTACTAGTTTCAGACCTGGACGTAACACAATGGACCCAGCCCACAACACGGACAGAATGCTTTCCTATATTAGCTGTTTAATGAAAGTGAAGATATAGTCTTAGACTTTGCAAGAGTAGCAATGTTTAAATCGAATAAGGATATGTTTTAAAGGCATGCAAATGCCCTCTTGTGGTAGTTACTATATTTAGCAATTTTTGCTTTAGATATTGAAAATAAAGAAACTTTTGTATGTAAAGTATTTTATGCACTACAGCCTCATTTTCTTGTTAAGTCTTCAGACTGAAATATTGATAAACCTGCATTATACTTGAGAATACCATAAAGCAAAGGGAAAAAAAAAAAACTTTGAAAATAAAGAGGACACTTCAAAATATTGTTCCACACAGCAAGAATTTTGGTAAACATATTTCTATATAAATCTGTCTCTTCACACAGGATTTATAAAAACTTAAAGTGACACTATAGGCACCAAAACTACTTTAGCTTAATGAATCAGTTTTGGTGTATAGATCATGCCCCATGCAGTCTCACTGCTCAATTCTCTGACATTTAGGAGTGAAATCACTTTGTTTATACAGCCCTACTCACCTCCCTGCATGTGACTTAAACAGGCTTCCTGTAAAGGGAGATCTAATGTTTCAACTTCCTGTATTGCACATTCTGCACAACTCATGCTCTTATTAGCTGCATGAGGCACCTGTGCATAATTTAAATTAAATTTGCAGAGCAGGAGATAAAAAAAATAATATATATCTCTAAAGCTATTTAACATCTGGTTGAAAATTAACAGTCACACAGTGATGCATTAACCTCCCCCCAAAAAAGTTATTTAACTCCTAAATGGCAGAGAATTGAGCAGTGAGACTACAGGGCCATGATCTATATACCAAAACCACTTAATTAAGCAAAATGTGTTGATGCCTACAGTGTTTAACAAATTACATGGTCTTCCAATGGTTGCAAAATGGCATAAATATATACCATCTGCCTGTTACGAGTGGTAGCTACAGGAAACCTTTGTACAGCAAGATCTTCATTTACTTCAATTAGACATACTCCTTCAGGGAACGTATAGTCAAGTCTCTAATCTCTGTGAAACATGGATATTCTCCTATTCCAGTGCCTTTACGTTTGTCCCAGTCTAGTGTTCAGGCTGGCTAGTATAAGTAATCCAAGAAATTAATCTGTGCCTGTTTTCTGTGTTTCCTTGCTCGCTGCTGGTCGGACAATAGCTACCACCAATTTAGAACCTGCATTTAAAAAAAATAAAAAAATAAAATAAAAAAACCCCAGACATGTTAAATTATTTTTTTAATCAAGTATTCTTTGGATTATCAGTTCTCCCATTTGCTTTACCTGCCTGTTTTATTAAAAGTAGTGTCATAGGAATAGGTATGCTTTGCAGTTTTTTGTAATATGCAACACTTCTTTATTGTTTAGGTTCTCATGACAGGAATTTTATTGCAGTCGCACATCTCCTTAGCATAAAATTAAAATTCATAGTCAAGAGTGTCTCAGCAATCCAAGAAATTCATTTGAGAAGTTGGATGGAAAATGTGCCTTCGCAGGTAGCCACATTCCAGGAATTGACCAGGTATTTAGGAAGCAGATTACACAAACTTTAGTTTGACAACACAATCTTTATGAACATTTATTTACAATTTCATATGGACATACCAGTTAACATTGCCATTTAAAAGAACAAAGACATGTGATAATTGGCTGACAAAATAAGTTCAAGAAAGCAAGGGAAATTTACAGATAAGTGAGACCAAAGTTGGTCTATGACAAATGCACAAACAGAAATTGTTTAACACAAAGAATTTGCTGTTTGAGAAAAATCAAAGGAAACCTAACTGAAATACATATGAACCAGCAAGGACTTGATGCACTGATGAGACTGCATCTTGATAGGATGGCAAGAGAACAAGTTTTTAAATCAAAAGCATACGGCAGAAGTGACAACGCATTCAGTAGGTAAATACGTTAAATTATATTTACATATATAAACACAAATGGCAACAGTCAAGCCAGTTGACAGTATTGAAAGAAAAAAAAAAAGGGGGGGAAAAAAAAAAACACAATTTGAATACCTGTAACATTCTGTTGATAGCTGCGATACTCTGGACTGAGTGGCACTAGGTGGGCTAAATGTGTGCTGTCTGCCATTTGTTGAGAAGCAGAACAGGCTGAACTAGTGAGTCAAAAATCTTATCAATATGCTATTCATGTGTTACTGCAAGTCATGTTGCTTTCAAACAGTTGATAGGTTTAACAATTACTGACCAGACTTGAGCAGCCTGCCCCATTCTCTAAAGACAAGATTTGAATCAAGTTGTAGTGATCATTTAATTATACCACTCAGAAGGATGAAATGGAATAAGGGGAGAAGAAATACAAACTAAAGGGACAGTAATTGGCATACTAAACAAAACCAAGTCAAAATAAATTATAGCTAAGTATAGTTTTGCACAAACTTCTATGTATTTGGTTTCACAGTTCAGTGGCTCAAGCGAAGCATGAAGATGAAGTCTTTCAGCTGGACAGTTTACGGATAGCACAGAGGAACGCAGGAGGCAAGTTTTTTCCTTCCTTAAAAATTAAGTTCTATTATGAAAGGCTCATTATAGGGCACAATTATATATAAAAAAAAAAAAAAATTAAAGATACAGCACAATTGTTAAATTTACAAAATACATAAGACATCTCCACACATTTTATAACAAGATCAGATGCTTGTTTTAAGCTTTAATTTAGTGCAACATTTAGCGTTGTAAACCGTGTACATTTACACAAAAAAAAAAAAAAAGGCTATTGGTTCGGCTTACTTACATTTTTTCAAAATACTTTACAAAACAAAAATATTTTATAGTTTTACAGTTGTATGAGTTGCCCCAGCCCTTCGTCTGTGCTTTTTAGAGGATCTGATGCAAATTCAAATGTCTTGTTCATGCTTGCTACTGCTGCAGAGGGAGGAGAGAAGAGAAAAATTTTATTTGTAAAAATTCTAGAAATTACGCTTTTCACCTTTTGCCACATTAAACATGTGACTAGGAGCACAGACCTAATCGGAAAATAACCAGGGAAGTTACATCTATGTTTTTTGGTAAATACTATTAATAGGCATTAACGAGCAAAATTTGATCCACAGGCAAATATATTTTAGGAAAAAAAATTTTTGAATAGGTCATCCATTAATGCTCAGGTATAAATTTGAAAATTCATTACCCTGGGACTCAAACACATCCACAAACTCATCCTTGTTGAGGTGTATATCTTCAGCTGGAGAAAAGGATATCAGCTGTGGGAGAGATAGCTTTCTGTCATTTGATGGAGTCATCAGGTATTCCAAGTCCAATGTTAAACCTCTGTCTGCAGGACTAAACACACTGCCCGTGTCAAGTAAAAGACTAGATTCAGATTTTTGCTTTGTGAACCTGCTGGGTGTGTGCTTGTCACTTTTCCCACTCTCTGTCAGAGATGTAAAGAGCGTGCTTTTAAGCGCTTCATAGCGGCTGCGTATTGATTGTATGTCCATTTTACGCTCAGGAGTCAAAATCTGTGTTTTGTCCAAGAGGAGATCTAGCATTCGGGTCTCTACAATTTCATTGGTCTCTGCACTTGTGTCGCTATTAAAACTTAGGTTTCCCAGCTTATCTGGAAGGGTTTCATGCAAAATGCCAAACTGGATTACTTCAGAGCTGTCTTCACTATTGCCATTGTCTACCATTTTGGAAGAATCCCATGAAAGCACATATTCAGAAGTATTTTCATCTCTGGGAACAGAGATAAGCAAAGTGTTGTTCACTGACATGTTAGGAGACTCAATCTTGAAGACACAAGTTTTACTTTTGTCCACAGGTAGTGCTAATGTCTCTGAAACACTTTTCTTTATGGGAAGAGAGAGTCCTTTCTCTGAAGTATTAGTCGCATTTGTGTTGTGGGTAGTGGTTAAAAGTTGCTGTGGTACAGGTGTTCCAGTGCTTGGAAGAAACCGGGCATCCAAAGAATCATTATGGTCTGAAATGTGAGAGGTGGACATAAAGCAGGCCATGCTCAGATCTATCTGACTGCAGTGAGCGGAATCAAGCTCTGATGGGGAATCCAAACACTGAGCCTCCAAGGAACTAGCCACAACATCTGAAGATTCTGACTCTATGGCTTTTCGCCAGGAACTTCGGATTTCAGAAACTGCAAAATAAAGTTAACACATTGTATTCACACAGACATGGCTAGATTGTTATCAATAATTGGTAGGGATACACAATTTTTCTGAAAGGAAGAGGAAAAAAAAAACAAAACAAAAAAACACCTCTACAAAAAGATACAATCATATACTGGTCACGTTCCAAAACATGCATTTAGAGCAACTATATTGCAAACTACACTTAAAACAGGTGACCATGATTTACGCCAAAACAAAAATTTGGAGTTTACAAAATCCCCAAAAGGTGTAATTGTGAGTGTTGTATGTTGCATTGATATGTAGTGTTTTATCTTTAACCCCTTAACGACGTTACATGCGGTCCCCATTTAAATGGGCTTTAAAGCCGTTGCGGTGGCATAGAACACCGTAACAGCTTAAGCCCTCAGGAGGTAAAATTCACTTACCTCCACCGCGATCCTCTTCGGGAGGACTGCCTAACAGCCCAGGCAGCCCTCCCCTGGCAAATCAGGCCCCTGGGAGCCATGTGATCACTCTCGAAGAGCGATCACATGGCCCCCTATTTCTGGCTGTGGATCTGCCAGCAGGGGGACTGAAACGTCGCACAGTGCCCCTGCTGGGGGAGGGGGAGGGGGGAAGAATGAAAAAAAAAAAAGAAACATGTTTAAAATATATACAGTGTATTTTAATGTTAAGTAAATTTATTAGTATTAAAATACACTCAGAATGACGTTACATCTCTCTATCTATATACACGTATAAATATAGAAATTAAAAATTATGTAATTTCATTCTAACTGTATTTTGTTAATATGTATATTTAACAAAATACACATAGAATGACATTCTATATAAAATACAAATAACCACAAAAAAATTACATAAATGTACATATAAAATATTACTTATATACAAGTAGAATTTTAAGTCTACATTTAAACATAATTATGTTATTTAATTAAAATTTGATTGACATGCCTAAAAACCCAGGCAGAAAGTGCAAAGAATTTGAATTGCAAGCACTATATTTAACCCTGTAACTTTCCAAGACACCATAAAACCTGTACATAGCGGGGTGGACTGTTTTACTCGGGAGACTTCGCTGAACAAATATTTTCAAAATGGTAGCTTATTACAATATTTTTAGTAAAAGTGACACAATCACAGTGAGAAGACGCCAGCGTCCAAAGGAAAGCACTGTGAATGCTTTCCTATGAGACTGGCTGAATGCACGCGTGGCTCTTGCCATGCATGCGCATTCAGCCAAGGAGGAGAGGAGGCGGAGAGTCCCCCGCCCGGCGCTGGAGAAAGAGGCAAGTTTAACCCCTTCCACCCCCTAGAGCCCGGCAGCACTATAGTGGTCCTTTAAGCGGTTTACGCTTTTTCTGCAAATTGAATCTTATAACGTTTGATAATACTCAACACCCATGCATCTTCTGTAGTTCTTTGCCATTAATAAAAATGTAAAAAGATTTCAGTCTGCCTCGTTTCTTCCTGCATCAAAAAACTCTAGGAGGATTAAGCATTTCAGTTTGGGTATTCGAAAGGAGTGAAACCTATTCTCTAAAGTTAGATCTTTGTCTATATTAAAAAAAAAAAAAAGTGACATTTAATAAGCTCAAGTGGAGTACCAAAGAGTTTCCCTTCTTAAATGGCAATTCTCATTCTTTGAAGCAGTAAGAGTTAAGGCAAATACCTGTCACATACTTCTAGCGGATAAATTTTATCTTCCGTGACCGTTTACAAAAATTTTGAAGCCAATTTGATCTTTAATATATAGAAGGGATCTTCTGAATTCCTTGACAAGCAGTCTTCATATTTCAGGTCTTGACAAATTTGTTTGGAATCTAGGAGCCAGTTTTTTGTTATTTTTTAAGGGACACTATAATCACCAGAATTACTAAAGATTAACGTAATTGTTCAGGTGCCTACAGCCTGTCCCTGCAGCCCTTTTAATGTAAACACATTTACTTTGCTATAAAACAGGAAAGTATTAGCGCTATTTGAGTGAAGTGTCTTTTAATTTATATATAATCTGAAAAGCTGCTAATCACTGTGAGGATCTTTTAAACAGAAATGGTGGAAAATAAGGAATACCAGTGCAGCACATGTGTGAAACTGAATATGGAAAATTTTTACCCAATTTCTTCTACGTTTGTCAATAATTTCTTGTTAACCTTTAGGTAAAACAGAAAAAAAAAAAAAAAATACACCGCATAGTGCAGATTGTATAGAAAATAATAAATTTATGAACAAATGCCAAATGGCAACTCAATTTTCTGAGCTATTAAATCTAGCTCAGATTTTGGCACTTTAGGATCTGTATAGGCGACCCTCTCCCTTCTCCTTTCTTTAATCCAATCCTATATGGATACAGGAGGGGGTATATAGTGTAGTACTGTTTATATTATAATAAATCTGTGTAAATAATAGATAAAGTACTCAAACCCAGAGCCGATCTACAGGCTCACTTCAATGTGCATATGTGGTTTAAGGACCACATTCCTTCCTTATGTCAGCAGGAAAAAGCCATAGGTGTATCAAAAAATATATATCATTTGACTAAAAAATAATTACACACTATAAAAAAAATCTTATAAAAATATATATAAGTATAAACACTTATAAGGCTAAAAGTCCAAAAAAGTTTTCAGTGCTCACTTCTCCAGAACGCGTTTCGTCAGATGGCTTCTTCAGCTGGATAAATTCTGTGATATATATTTGATACACCTGTGGTTTTTTCCTGCTGACATAAGGAAGGATTGTGGTCCTTAAACCACATATGCACATTGAAGTGAGCCTGTAGATCGGCTCTGGGTTTGTGAGTACTTTATTATTTACACAGATTTATTATAATATAAACAGTACTACACTATATACCCCCTCCTGTATCCATATAGGATTGGATTAAAGAAAGGAGAAGAAGGGAGAGGGTCGCCTATACGGATCCTAAAGCGCCAAAATCTGAGCTAGATTTAATAGCTCAGAAAATTGTGAGTTGCCATTTGTTCATAAATTTACTTACTATTTTCTATACAATCTGCACTATGCGGTGTATTTTTTCTGTTTTACCTAAAAGTTAAGAAATTATTGACAAACGTAGAAAGAAAAAAATTGGGTAAAAATTTTCCATATTCAGTTTCACATTTACATTGCTGCTTACCAAGACTGTGGTGAAAGTAACCTCGCCATTTGTGTTCTTGGAGGGGCCCGTTTGTCAGCCTTCTGCCTCAGGACTATGGGCCATGCACAAAGACTCAAAAGACCTTGTTCGTGCCTTCTTGGCTATTCTCTTCAGTAGTTTGCATTCCCTCGTATTTTAACATTGTCTCATTCGACTACCGAACAACCACACGAACCAGGGACCACCCAGGAACTTGTTAACACCTATTAACAGCTTGGAACATTTCACACCACAGTGTTCCAATTGTTTGTCTGGGTGGCCGCAATTTCTATGGACAATCACGAGGTGGCGGCCATCTTGTTCACACGAATCTCATAGAACACAAACTCCCGAACACCACTGGACTTCCATCATTGCATCCGTTTGGTTCTATACAAGTTAGAATGGCACTGTTCAGTGGAATCGTTCATCTGGATGAGAGGGAACAAGCTCCAGGGTAATACTATTGACTGTTTGGCAGTTATTCATTTTTAAACTACTGCACTAGACAGACCGCAAACCCGGATTCTCTAAACTATTTTGGGCATGACATGCGTGCGGTCAAATAAATCAGTTCAGGAATTTTCTGGAAATCTGGGTGATTTTTGGATATGTTTGTCACACAGATCAGGGCTATCATGGGATGTAACTTTTTGTGGGGTTTTGTGTAGTTTGGGGTACTTTTGGAGATATATAGATTAGTACAGTTCCTGATCCAATTACAAAAAAAAACATTCTTCCCAATTATCTCCCAGCCACAGAGGAGAGATCCGTTTAGGAGTGTCATGTATTGTAACACGGCTGTCATTGGTCTGACTTTGTAATTCACTCTTCCATCAGGTCCAGGTGGGAGTACCACTTGCATGGGGATTGTCATAAAAAGGCCAAGTGTGGTCCCATTAAAATGCATTCCTGCTTACCCTAAACATGGAGCCTCGTCTCATGTGTGGGGCAAACTGCTGTATCTACCCTTGAGATTGCTAGATCACTATACTACCCTGGGATTATAATCACTATCTCTTATAGGAGCTGTTCCTGCTATACTCTCTGGAGTAGGAGAGGTTCACCCACTGGCAGCTGGTTCCTGGTCTAGGATCCAGGGTTGGTGGAGTACGGCAAGATCCCAGCCAAGCTGTAACGCTGGACATGGGAACCATGGTGCCCGGTGCAGTGCTTCTAGTACTAGGAAGTTGTGATTGACAGACGAACCCAGTCGGTCCGTCAAAGACCTCTACTGACGGTCACTAGAGTCCTGTGTCAGTGCTCTACATGGAGGCACTGAATGTTACCCATAGAGAACATGTGTAATATCATCCCAATGCTTTCCTATAGGAACGCATTGGCTTAGCTGAGATCATTAGGATCTCAGCTATGGAGGCGGGACAAGCAACAGCAAAACAAGCACAGCCTTAAATAAAAAAAATAAAAAATAAAAACACTTTAAAAGACACCAATCATGTGATCGTAGGGGGCAAGTACCTTGACACATTTATCTTTTCTATTTAGTTCTAATTGACCCAGCCTGCCTGCCTACCTTTGGGAGAGCTGAGTGGACTTCCCCTGGGGTCCAGTGGGGCTGATATTCCTGGGTGGGAGGGAGCAGTGATCTTCCTGCAGCTCCTCTCTGCAGTGATGCCAGGGCTGGAATGACGCCATATTCCGGCTCCAGGCATCATTACACAGCGCAAGGGAGCAGAGAGGAGCTGCAGGAAGACTGCTCCCTCACACGTTGTCCCACCCTGCCGCCTCCATACCTCCCACAGGCAGGCGGCTGGCTACAGAGCTCCCTGAGCTTGTCTCCTCTAAGCTCCCGCAGGTGACCGGCAGCTGGCAGTCTCCATTGTTTGCCCAGCCGGCCACTTTAGGTTAAAGGCTGACAAATCCCAGACGCCAGGGCAAAATTTCATGTCGCCATGGCGGCCTAGAATTTGACGAGCCCTTTTTTTTTTTATACCAAATGTATTGAGCTCTACATACAGAGTCTTAAAAATCATATCTTGAGCTGCAGCTCCCAGTTACATGAGCCTTGAAGACGTTTCTTTCTTATCCATAAGATCATGTATTCTTGTGTTTTCCAACTGGAAAGTATTTTTGGCTAGCTGAGCCATGGAGGGACACACACACACACACACACACACACACACACACACACACACACACAAAGCCTATGGGGAGAGAGACATTCAGCACAGACCAAGTACTTAATCTTTGAAGTGGCTTTAGGTTTAAGTGGAGAAGCCTTCAATTTCTAAAGTTTATTAACAATATTATCGTGACAAAATGGGTTAGACATCTAATATAAATAACTTCTTAGCCAATTAAACGTAAAAACTAGTACCTTTTAAGTAAAAACCTCACCTTACATTAAATTACTGTGCATAGTGGGAAGGTAGCACACAAGGAGACCTGTATTGACCAGCATCCTGTGGTCCAACAGTCTGAACTAGAAAAGCTACAATTTCTGGTGAAATTGTGTGAAGTGTTCTTGCCTCCACCAGTAGTCTACAACTGGAGTGGGCGGAGTAACTTATCATTTACATAGCACATTTAATTGCAACGTTGTTGCACAGTTACATTAAACCATACATTTATAAAAACATTAGCAGGTGTTCAAAAGGCCCTGTCTATGACATCACTTGCTGCTGCAGCCTTGACACAGGTCAGAGTATTTTGGTGGTTGCCATCTTCAAACGGTCGTATTTTAAAAACTATAACTCCTACAGCGAAGAGCTTTATATTGTGAGAATCACAAGACCCAGACCTACATTTTGATGCATAGTATGTCTCTGAAGTATTAAAATTGAAGGCACAGTCGCAGTTTAGAAATTGCACTTCAAATTTGAGATTTGCAGAGTGAAGTTTCAATGAAAGTCAATGGACGGCGTTAGTTGCAAACAAATGATTATATTGTGAAAACTATCAGGACTATGGCTTAGCCGTTGACATGTTTAGTGGCATGAGGGATAGCTGAACGTTTTGATATAAGATTTGTGTAGGTGGGCCTGAAAATAAGGGAGTGGTGGCAGTTTAGAAATCATGTCCTGATTTTTCAGCTTTTGCCAGCTCCCACTCTAGCTTTGCCATTCATTCCTATGGGACAAATTTCGCCACAAGAACGACGATATTCCGTGAACCATTCGGCGAAACGTTCCACAAAGTAATAGCAATCCGATCGGGAACAATCTGCACGTTTTGGTAAATTTTTGTCTATGTAGTGTAAAAACTGTGGGAGGAGTTAGGGTGGCAAATTTTGCTATAATAATAATAATAATATATATGTGAGATAACATTAAGTGGTCTTGCTATGCAAGAACACTTAATTAGCCATTAAAATCTAACATTTCAAGTTTGGTGTACTTTGGCTTTAATTGTTCATGCATGCTCTGTAGCGCACCATGAAGCAGTGGCATGCAAACGCAACCGCAGGCATAATAGTCTACCCAGTTATTTCGTGCTGCAGCCACCTGGACCAGCGAATCTGGGGTAAGCTGTCAGTCTTGAAGCCGCCCCACCTGGGAAAGCCTTTAAAGGTTTTCAGCTGCCTCAAGGTCGCTAAGCATGCTGCAGCTGTGAGAGCAACCTTTGCCTGTCCCATCGGCTGCACTCAGATCTGGTACCTATCCAGCCCACACACAGGACATCAAGAACTGTTGGGTAAGGAGTTTTTATAGTGATGGTAGAAGGAGAGTTCTCTATACCAGCTGGTAGCTAGAAGATAAATCAGATTTAAGGAATTTATTCAGCAAGACACCCAGGTGTATCCCATTATAAAACAGAGGGGGGGTGGGAGGATTTAAAAATAAGATTCCAGCTTTAAGCAGTTTCAGTAAAGTTGAGATTTCTCAAACCTTGACATAAACACTACATAGGACATTCATCAGTTAACAAGGATGGATAAGGGCATTCAAACTCTGATAGCCTCAACGGCAACTTACGCAAGTTCTCAGGTGTCCGTGGGATCTCCTTTTTAGATAGGAAAGGATCAGAAGATAACATGCCAAGTAAATCCTCCAACTCTCCAGCTCTCCCTTCTGAAGTTCTTGGAGATTCTGAAGCAATTAAGTCTGCAACCTGTGGTACATACCAAATAAAATTGTTTAGTTTACAGTAGTTATTCATAAGAGTCCTTCCACCAGTTAACCCATTCACTACCAAAAGTATGATAGCTTTAAAGTGTATATGCATTGTGTTATTTGAAACATGTTAAAAGGATACATTTGCTTTAAAAACTGATTTTACAGCAGGCCCATGAATATGGTAAGAGAAGGGAGACAAAAATATTGCAACTTTCTGTTCCTGCAATAAACTTTACCCAGACATTACAATGGGAATGTAGAATAGTTCTGGGCCCGACAAGTGGTGTGCTAGTATGAAGATGTCACATTGGTAACAGTAGGAGCTCATGACTGATTGTGTAACGCGCAAACTACAATTTTAAGCATCTGTATAAAAACCGACCATGGAGTAAAAAACAAATAAAAAAATAAAAAACCCCACACCACAAACTGTTACTCATACGGAGTTTGAATTTCACTGAAATTCAAACCCAGCAGGGACTACTTTGTCTCAGTATTTTTCTTACACCTGACACTTCGCAGAGCTAGTGTCAAAAAGGTGTCAATCCCCAGGGTCTCCATCTATAAACAATCCTGCAAGAGAACAGTTTAGGCAAGTTAAACTCATCTTTTCCTGCGCACTCATGCAGAAATGGGAGGGTGGGGGACCTCCATTTACACACATTTGTTACATGCATGAGAGAGAAATAAAAGCAGATAAAACCCTATATGGTCCCAATTCACAGCTAGAATGTGAATATTACACTCCATGTTAAGCTACTGACTTTTCAGAAAGATATCAAATGCTACATTAAACAAGGTAGCATTTTGAAGAAGCCATTTTCAGCAAAAGAGTCACACATGCCTACCTAGCATGGAGCACATCGTAACATGTAGGGAATGGGTGCCAATGATATTGCAAAGAGATAGTTCATAGGATTTTTTTATATTAAAAGATAGAAATAACTTTAAAAGGGATAATTGCACAGACTATTAAGGACACATTAAGTAAATACAGATAATGTCCAAGGACTAATTAAAAGTTCCACTTTGGGCACTAATGCTACTGTAATGCATTTTTATGTAAAAACGCTAAAGATCTGAGCATGCAAACATACTACAGCATATTAAGGCCCAAAAATCAAAAGGATTTTGTTGTATTGGTGCACGAAGTGTCTTTTAGGAGTGTTTATGCAATCAGAATGCCTATATCAACAGCACAAGACTACATTCCATCTGGCATAATTTGTCTCCATAGGATTCTAGTCAAATAACAGATTTAATTAAGGGAGAATCAGTGGCATTAGGATGAATCTTCTATGCTACATGAGGAAGAAGGCATTCATAAGAATTAATTCCAGTTCTGAATTCACAATTCCACAGAACATTTCTGTCCTTTGTGTAGAAAGCTATGCTTCATTGTCTACTACAAATTCCATGAGATATGTAGTGGTGTATCATTGTACTATAAACCTACTACATTGTTTAACTTTATTATTAGTGACCTAAATAATGTACATGGCAAAAGCTTAGAAACTACCTCCTTAATGTCAACATTTGTTCAGTGACCCATTGTAATATAGTAATATATTAGATTACAATACTTTTTAAACATCTTCACAGCATCCTAGATTGTGAGCAGGGCCCTAGATACACCTCCCCTGGCTGTGACAGACACTGCTTCGATTAAGACAAAATTGTTTCATAATCAGATGTAACTTTAAAAGTTACTCATGCTCTGTAAATTGAACCTTAATCACATTCAGGAGGCTCATGTAGGGTCTAGCAAACTTAATAGAGCAGGAGATTCTAAATTAAACAGAATTTACAATAAACAAAGTGTAAACATTAGATGGCTCTTTACAGGAAGGCTGTGCGTTTATGGAGCCCTACTCACACCTCCCTGCATTTGACTAAATGATTTAACTGCTAAATGGCAGAGAATTGAGCAGTGAGACTGCAGGGGCATTGATCTATAACCAAAGTTGCTTCATTAAGCTGAAGCAGTTTGGGTGACTAGTGTCCCTTTAAATTTAGAAATAAGAGAAATTAATATGGGAAAGGAAAGTTCCCATTTAAGAAGTACTGAAAACACATTTGTAAAATATGTACTCTTAAGATCTTACCCAGTAGGATGCAGGTTCCCCTATGCCTGACATTTTAGTTTACTCAGATTAGAGTACATTTCTGCTGCTCCGCAATCTTGACATTTGTCTCAAAGGGGAATATGGAGTTTATCACTAAATCAAAAACAAATCCTTTGTGATTTTCCATGATTAGACCAAACATCCAATTATGTGAACAGCAAAACTGACTTTGTGTGGCACAAGCAGAAACCCCAATTAAGCACAGAAGAGGGTGAGAAAAAAGTACTGTCTAGCTGAAAACGTGCCCTGCATCACCAATATCCATGCATACTATGATATGTTGCAAGAGGAAAACTTTGAGAGTATAAATTTAAAAAAATATATAAGTTGTTAATCACCAACCTGCTGTGCAAGCTGCTGACGTGCTGCACTCATCGGATCTTTTTTACATGGTGATGGAGATACTGCCAGCAAACTACTTCCAGCTTTCCAACTGGTGTCAGATAGTCTTTTATTCCCTGCAGACTTTGGAGTAAGCTCCAAAAAACCATCTTTTACATACGGAGAAGGTGTTCGAAAGTCCTGCATAAATAAAGGAGCAACATTAAATGGGAATGCAAAAAGAATTCAGACAGTAACCAAATAAACAAAATACTTTGTGTAGTCAGAGGGGTTTTATATTACTAAGAAAGATTAGAGAGGGCTTGCAGGACGCAAGACCAATACTAATCCTATTACCCTTGATGAAATTGCTGATCACATATTTGGCTCTGTGCCTTAAATAAAACAGTTTATTAAATCCCTATATGGCTGGATAAGTCATAAAATATTAAAGGAAAGCTGTCAAAATGTGCACATCAGGAAAGCAAAAAAAAAAAAAAATGAATAAAATGAGTTGATTAAAATAGAACCAACTGTCAAGACTTCAATGGAAAAATCCAATATTAAACCCACACTTAGAATATAGACACTAGCCAGTAGAATCTTAGTATCTTTACATTGGGTTATGCCCTAATTACCCCATAACCACTACAAACTTGGCATCAGACTCTCGCCAAGTCTTTGTATTTATTTTAGGTTTCAATGCCTAAGTGGATATTTGATCGTCTAGTACTGCCTGCTATGACAGGCTCTTTCAAATAAACTAGACAGCACCATGTTCTCCAGTGAACAACTTAATCCCACCAACATCAGTCCTTCAACGTACTGAATAAACTATTTAAACTATTTAAACAGCAAATAAGGGCTAGCTGGGAGATATCGTTCCTTGATAACTACTTTGAGAAAAAAAAAAAAAAAAACCCACATGATACCCAGGGGCCTCAGAGTACACAATCCCTCAAGAGATAGGGGAAGGAGATTTTGAAAACTTACATGAATAACTACTCAAATGGTGAATCAGGCCAAACCTTTAAATCACCACGAAATTAAGGTTTTAAAAAAAAAAAAAAGTTTATTTGTACCAATCCCAGCTTACAATAAATTTGTATGGATCAAAGATTTACATACATTTGCTAGAAAACTCACCCTATATAAATACAGCCAGCTTCAGACAGAGGCAAGCCAAAGATCTAGGCCTGCCAAGCAAAGACTGATTGCCTAATGACCCTTGTGTCGTTACTAGAAGACAACAATATCACCCATAGTCGGACAAATTTAAAATTTTGGCCCCTCTTAACTGATGCACATACTCTGTCCCAAGGTTAATATCACAGCACGTAGGGGAGAAGAGGGAGAGCGAAAAAAAAAAAAAAAAATCAAAAAAAAAAATCTGAGACCTCTTGGTCCCCAGTCATTTTCAACCCCAGCGTACCATGACACATACTTTGCTTACTACTCCCCTTGTGGGTTCAAGTGCGGACAATGTGTTGCCAGCAAATTCAAAAGTGACAAAAAAAAAAAATATATAACTGATAGTGAAGACAATCATTTAACATTAACTCATTCTTTAATTGCAATACTGCAAGTCTGGTTTATCTCCTAACATGTGAATGGGATTTAAAATATGTTGGAAAAACATTTTAAAGAAAGGATTAATAAACATGTTAGGTCTCCTAAGCTAACCACAGAGAGCCCCATCACTTGAAGGAACACCATTCAAGTGACAAAAAAAAAACAAAAAAACAAACTCATGTTGTCTAAGGAATCCATCGGCTGAAGACCCTTCAACCGAAGTGTTTGAATGAAGGCTTATCTATACTAATATATCTATACTAATTACATAACTTGTCTTATGGACATATCGTTACTTTAATTTTGCAACAGAATGTATATTGGTTGGTCCCTGAGGGCATAACTTCTAAAAATAGTTTTGAAAGCACTGTTCCCCTTAGCCACTTTAATTGACCTGTTCAAATTAACGTAATTATCTTGCTTTTTAGAAGATCAAATTATTCTCCTTTTGAAAAACATTTGTTTTAATTTTAAACACTATCCCCTACCAGTATCTCATAAATTGGATTTCAACAATGATTGCAAGTAACTATCGTTTGGCACTGGAGTTAATTTCTCCCTCCATTCTCTATCAATTCAAGCCACTCAAAAAAAAAAACCAAAAAAAAAAAACGCCCCCTTCGATGTGATTTGTGGACAACTATAACGACTGTACAAAAACAGTGGCCAGATCAGTCTCACTCCAACTCTTTACAAAGACGCAAGTCAATGCCGAAACGGGCGTTGACTTAGACACCACACTTGTGGATCTTTCCTAGGACCTCGTCTGAATGTCTATACTTTGACTCAGGATTATTTGTTCGTATGAGTATCTTAATTTATTAAGCAGTTTGTACTATGTTAACCGCTGACCTAGTTAGACCAGGGGCTGCTACCTTGGCAGCAACTAGCATAGTATTAGGCTCTACTCCAGTTATACCAAGCTATGGCAGTCTCTTCGATATTAGCCCAGCTAGTCTGACTTCTTAGTAGGTAGTTTATTGATGGGTTACCGCTTGCTAGCATAAAACCGAATTTATGACGGCACAACTACAAAGTTTTTATGTTGGTATCTCAATTTAATCTGTCTAGGACTGCCCTTTGATTACTAGTTCATATTGTAATGTGTATCCTTAGTGTGGTAAATGCAACAGTCTATTGTGCTCCATCATCTTATTTCGTTTCCTGCTGCTACATTTAACAAAGTGCCATCATATCCAGCACTCTACAGTAACAAAGCAGATTACGGTCAGGGTCTGCAAATCTTTACAGCATTAATCTAGCACATTTCACCATCCTTCAAGGGCTTTTTGCAGACTGCTCAGCGGGAAAGGCTTATAAAGTCTTTCCACGCTGTGCAGATTGACTCAGAGCGCTGTGTTTGTTTGGTAAAACTTGAGCCTTACATGTTTGGTTACCTGCAAGGCTCATGATTTACCGGTCACAGGGCACTGACTCAAGCACTCACTGGGGAAGGGAAAAAAAAAAAAAATTAAAAGTTTACATTCCAATTACAAATACGATTTCTCAGGCATTTAATTTATAGCTCAGGTTTAGGTTTATTCTACAGGGGGGGGGGGAGAAAGGAGATGACACTCGATGTATAGTTTAGTCTAGATTTATCAAGGGCAGTTTCAGCAACTCTTCTGAAGGACATCCCTTGAGACAATACCTCTGATTTGTATTGAAAAACATAAGTATGTAGAGGATAGGGATCGACTGATTTTTTTTATAGAGCTGATATTCTGTACATTTACCATTTTGAAAAAAAAAAAATTCTAAAGGTAAATGAACAAAATATACATGCCACATGTAGTGGATGCAGTGTTTAGACAGGAGGTGTGTGTAGTGTGTTTACAGTGAATGGATTATGAATACAGTGTGTTTGTATGGTGTATATAATGAATACAGTGTGTTTGTATAGTGTATATAATGAATGCAGAGTGTGTATATAATGCAGAGTGTTTCTGAAGTTATGTAATGTGTAAAATGAAGCGAGTGGGCATTTAATATTTATGTTTTATTTTAGCCTCCCTGCTTGTTACCTGGCTGGGGGGGTGGGTGAAAATATAGCATTCCCAGGTGGTCCTGTGGCATGTACTGTCAGTGGGGGGCCCCTCAGCAAGCTCTTACCTTTCCAGCAGCTCCCTGTGTAAATCTCACGGCCTGCGTGCAGCGTTGCCATAGTAACCCGTGGCAATGCTCTGACGGCCGCAGGACTCGCAAGATTTACACAGGGAGCTGAAGGGAGCTGCTGGAAAGGCAACAGCTTGCTACGGGCCCCTCAGGAACGCTGAGCTTTTAAATGGGCCTGGGAGTCCGGTTATGTATTACTGGTATCTCTATTAGCTGATTTTGCAGAATATTGACAAAACAGATAATCGGTCGATCCCTAGTAAAGAACACTCGAAATGCACTGACTACCACATAAATCCTAGTTTTTCAGGAAGCAATGCTAGACAGAAAACACATATGAGGAGACATGTGGTTAACAGACATTCACTTGCGCTGCAGAGTTCTAAGTCATAACAATATTAAAACAATACAAGTGCATTTGTAAATGGGGGGAGCAGCAGTTTTTAAAAAGAGGGACACTGACCCCAGAAGCACTTTAGCTTGCTGTAGTACGAGATGTGTGAAGAGTCTGCCCTCGTTACCACTACCCCCTGCTGTGTGTAAAATGAAAGTGCAGATTTCAATAGAAATTGGCTTTTTCCCTAAATTAAAGGACCACTATAGGCACCCGACCACTTCAGCTTAATTAAGTGGTCTGGGTGCCAGGTCCAGTTAGGGTTAACCTTTTTTATAGACATAGCAGTTTCAGAGAAACTGCTATGTTTACATTAGGGTTAATCCAGCCTCTAGTGGCTGTCTCCCTGACAGCCGCTAGAGGTACTTGCGTGCTTCTCACTGTGGAAAAAAAAAAAAAAAAAGTGAGAAGACGCCAGCGTGAATGCTTTCCTATGAGACTGGCTGAATGCGAATGCGCATGCAGCCGAGGAGGCAGAGAAGAGGAGAGCTCCCCGCCTGGCGCTGGAGAAAGGCAAGTTTAACCCCTTCCACCCCCTAGAACCCAAGTATGTTTTCCTGGCACTATAGTGGTCCTTTAATCTTTCACAACTCCAAACAGTCCAAAGATCTCATCAATCCAGTTACATTCTGGTTGTTTAGCCTAGTTGAGGTAGATTCAAGAGGCAGGCAGTTACCCAGAGATCATGCCTTGCAAAGAATATCCATTGAGCTGCATTGATAAGTCTGATTGGAAAGCAACAGAACATCTGGCATAGGCCGAGGCTTGCAAAGGCTTCAGATAAATTTGCAGCTTTTTAGACATATCCCCTAATGAAAACATGCATGTATTCACTGGGAACATCTACTAGACAGTGATTTTTGTATTTGGATAGTGGAGTGTCAGTCTAAGCAGTCAAATGAAGACGTTAAAAAGAAAGCTTACCTGCTCATTTAAAGACATTCTGCGTTTAAGAATAGGAGTCTGGCCACGTAAAGAAAGGTGACTCCTAAAAAATAAAACCAGGATGAGTAGTTGCACTGGCATTTATAAAATTCAATGTAGCCATTTAATTCTCTAGTAAAGTAACCTTATATATATAAAAATAAAAATAAAAAAAATCTATACCTTCCAGTGGGGGTAAATATTGACGCATCTACAAAACTCTTCCGTAAAGCACCATCTTTGGTTATGGGCTTTGTGGGAGTTTTTGAGAGCTCTTCTGGAAATCAGCGGGAAAAAAAAGTAAAAAGTTACATTCTGAAAGTCACCTAGAGCCGGTGTACGTTTTCAATAACCTCGCTACAGAGATGACAGACAAGACATGAGTGGGTATAGAGGTAAGTGGAAGATAGATGCAAAAAGAATATATGTTTGAATGAGAGGGGAGAAGAGGTTCCAGGAAAAAGAGTCTACATCTTACATTGAGTGCAGACTCAGAATTTAAAACTTAAGAAATCCCGCAAAACCATATGCACTCAAACAGCAGCAACATCTCTCACCTGGTAAACATGGAGCAAACTGGCCCAAAATACTGCTGAATTCCTCTTCTAAAGCAGGTTGATGGGAAAAGGTAGAAGGCTGCAGATCAAGAAGCTTAATACAAAATAAAATTTATATACATGAGTTTGCATATGCATAGTAAACATAGGTTGAACGAATACCTTCATAATACTAAATGAACCATTTTAAGATGGAGGGAAAAAAAACCATCCTTCTGTTCAAATTACAAATAAGATTAAATTGTTTGGAGGGGTGGATTCCCAGTCTTACAAATACTGTAGCCTGCCAGATTATGCATATCAGCAGTCTACAATCCCAATAGTCAATAGGATGTTACCTTATAGACGCCAAAAGGAGACTTGCCAAGGACCTTTGTCCATTTTTTCTCCCATTCTTTTTCTGTTTCAGCAATCACCTTATCTATTGCTACAATATTTTCTCTTTTTATTTTGTGCCTGCAATAAATGTTAGAATTGTTACCACCATATTACTGACATTCATCAAGTGTCAACATTCTGAAGTGCTTTAGAGTGTGTGTGGGGGGGGGGGGGATGATAAAGGAGGTAAAGAGGGCCCCTGCCAGTGAGCCACTGAAGTTTTGATACAGTACTTTACTAGATAACCAGAGAGTTACAATCTAAAGATTACAATGGAGAGTTGAGGCAACATATGCAATAAAACTAAAGTACAATGTTTCCTGAACTAGATGGGAAAGAACACCATAATAAAAAATAAAAAAAAAAAGTAAAAAAAAGTGTCTGCCTCGTATCTGTCCGTTACGATTTCTCTCAACTCGCCCCGGTCATCAGAAGGCAGTGTTATTATAGGGAGATTTAGTGGCAAACAGAGCATGTTTCCTCTGCCTGAGTATCAATCGCCCACAATTGCATAAAGATACATATAAGAAAAATATGAAGAGAAAGTAGTCAGTACAGCTTTGCCATTTAAAAATAAAATAGAATAAAAGACAAGTTTTCTGAAAATCTAAAAATTTACATTTGTGCACAACTCCCTTAAATGTAAAGGCTACGTTTTTCTTCAAATTCATAACCAGTTTAATTCACACACAAATAAAAAAAAATTGGCAGAGGATCGTTCTACCTTATGTTCATCAGTCTTGTTAGAATATCCATCTCAAATTTTGCTTTCCCAGCAAGATACTGTAAGTCTAGAGGTACACCTTTGCAGTTTTGTTGGCAGCGTTCCTGTTTCACAATCATTAGAGCTTCATTTAAAAGTTGGATAACAGTTATAAGGTTCACCTTGCCAGCTTCATACACATTCTCCATCTGTAACTGTAGTAAAGACAGCATCTTGATTTAAAGTTTCATCTTCAAGGTAGTTTAGAAAGTCTTAAAAATGAGGAACTCTCCAATCAAACAGGGAGGGGAAGAATTTAGCTCACAAGGCTGCAGCATGAGACAAGGGAGAAGTCTTGAGACAGTTTTTAAGGTCATGGACTCTTACCCTGTACATTTCATTTTCAATTCTGGCCACTAGTGTATCTGGAATGTTTAAAGTGACATTGGATCCATCTAAACAGTACTGATCGACGTTCCCCTTAACCACCAAATCCACAACTTCCACTTCCTTCTCAATTGTTTTCAAGCTCTGCATAATTACATTCCACATGTATCGTATCTTCAAGAAAATACAGAAGGATTAGCAACCTTTTGACAAACGCATTCAGTGTGGCTTTTACATTTATTTTTTTAAAGTCTGAACAATCTCACCTTCTCCACTTTCTCATTTCTGCACCTGTCTGTGCTTACATTTCCTGATCTATAAACGTAAAAGACACTAATTAAGAGAAAATACATGTAACAGCAGTGGATAGAAATACACAAACAAAATGAATTATGCCGTCAAGAATAGCAAATTACCTGTTCTGGTTTTCCAATGCCACACAATCTGAACGCAATTCCCTGATTTGTTTCACAAGAATTCTAGAATTTAAAAAAAAAAAAAATTAAATAAAGAAAATGTACAAAGTGATTTAAAGTCATGTTCGAGCCCCTTCCAAAACACCTAATTTTTTGTTTCTAAAGATTATAAAAACAAATGGCATTTTATACCAGGGGAATGAAAACCCAAACAAAGTCAAATTCAATAAAAACCTACACAACCATAATGTGCGCCTTCATTTGTCATGTCAGAGGCACCATAGAAACATTTCTCAAGACATGTATATACGTGTTTAGAATACACACAAAAGAATACATAGACACTCACTGGGCTTTTCGCTGGTACTCTGTTATCACAAAGTTCTCCCTCTGCAAAACCTGTAAGTATCTGTAACGTGCACCCATGTTTCTTGCCAACGCTTTTTGAGGATCCTGAATCCTAACCTGCAGTGCTTCTGAGACATATGAATTAGAACCTGCCATAGGATAGTCAGGGTTATGAAGATATACTGGAACAAGCTCTAGACAGAGAAAAGCTAGGTGTAACAAGCTGTAGATAAATATTTCTAGATACACACGGCAAGTCGTTTAGATTTAGAAATCTCATTGTTTTGTTAACTTGGCTGTGGCAAGCTCACTGAAGAGTTGTGCTCCATTAGACCCTTCTCCTAGGAGATCACCAAGCTTTTGTGCACAAAATTGTTTGCTGGCTAGATCAACTTGATCTTGAGCTTCTAGCTGAGCAATTTACAGGTGTCAGAGCTAGAGTTTCCTGCCAATAGAAATCTCAGACCTGGCAGCATAAGATGAATGCAGAATAATTTAACCAGCAACTAAAGTGGTTATGGTGCTTACTGGATCTTTCAAATGCAAGTGTTTTTTTGCACATAAACATAATAGAAGTTTTAATCTGCTAGTAGTGGGTTACTGTAAACAAGAAAAAAAAAAAAAAAAACACACTTGCTTTATTTTACACTATTTTCATTTAAACCCACTCTATTGAGCATGAGTAAAGTAAAGTTTATATTGAGTGCCAATACGCACCGTTTGACTTTCTGCTTCTACACTGTGGGATGGATTACTAATGCATGGTGGTTAAAATCTGCTTGGCAACTAAAACCAAACTTTACTTTAAGCTCCACCCATTGTAATTTTGTCAACCTGACTGCTACACATAAGTAAGAGTCCCTCCATTCTTTATGTATTTTCTGCTCAATAAGAATCAGTGAGCTAGTCTTTAGTAAGAGGAATATTAGGGGGAAAAAAACCCACACAATTGACTTTTGCCTTCTTTGGATCAACAGCAAAAAACTAATGTGAGGTAAGCCGAACTTTATGGACGCATGTCTCTTTTCAACTATGTAACTTTAAATCGGTTTGCGCTAGAAGTTCATCCAAAGCAATCAATTCAGAGGCAGCTTGTAAATGTGTGAAAAAAAAAAAAAAAAGTGTATTTGACTGAATTTACTATTGTCCAAAATAGCCTCAATAGTTTTCTCCAACATTTCTTTCACAAACAGTTACATGAAAAGCTTTGTAAGCCTAATAAGCTTTGTTTACTTGCTCATAGCGCAATGAGCAGTTCATAAAACTCACCATCTTTTCTAATATGCTGTAGCATAACATATCGTACAAAGTGGTACAAGAGATGCACAAACTTTGGCCCACCAGGTGAAAGAAAGATTGATGCCACAACTTGAGGAAAGCCATTACCAGCATCTTCCTACAGAAAGTTAAAAACAAAATTAGATATTTTTCCATAACAGTTTTAAGGATGGAAGAAACTATGTTTACATCTAGCAAGATTCTATAAGTGGGGGGAATAACACTTACTGAAATCTTTCGCAGCCACTCACAGCACACTTTCCGGAATTCGGCATCCCGTTTCTTATCCACTGGGGGCCAACAATATCTGGAAAAATAAAGAAAAATAAAAACTAGTACAAGTGACATCCAATTTTAATTTTATGATTAATAAGTATGCAGCTTAACTGTATACCAATTAAAAAAGTAAAAAAACTTTAACCCCTTAAGGACACATGACATGTCATGATTCCCTTTTATTCCAGAAGTTTGGTCCTTAAGGGGTTAAGTTATTTTCGTGTTGCTTTGTCTCTTAGCATGTCTTTAATTTTATTTAACCCCTTCAGAACCGAGGCCAGTTCAGGACCGTCATTGGCATTTTAGCGTTGCTGACCACTGACGGTCCTGAACCGTCCTAATGGTCTTATGTACTTACCCGATCGCCGTTCCCCCGGTGGCGATCGGCCGTGCTCCTGGTGTGGGGAGATTGCCATGGGGAGACTGTCTGGGCTGCAGGCAGATTAGGACCCCTGTGGCAATGTGATCGCTCAGAGAGATCACATGGTCACAATAGGTGTCCTAGTGTCTCACTGCTAGTGTAGAATCATTAAAAAAAAATTTTTATGTATATTTATGATATAATGTCATACCAAGTGTATTTTTATATTAATATGTACTTAATATAAAAACACACTGTAATAATTAAATTACACATGTATATTCAATAACTATTGTATATTATAAAATAAAAATTTAAAACATATCTATGACATTTTATTCTAACTGTATTTTGATATTAAAATATATGTATTTCATTCGAAGTGTATTTTGAGATACACATGTCCATATACAAAATTACAATTATATAAATATACATGTAGACTTCAAGTATATAAATATGTATATATTTAAATTTTATGTGCGTATTTATGTAATATTTTTTCATAACTAATTTTATTAATTGATATTTGCAGGACCTGCCTGCCAGCCCAGGCTGAAAGTCCAGAGAATGTAATTTGCTAGCACTGTATTTTACCCTAAAACCTGTACATGGAGGGGAGGGAGGGTGTATTGTTTTACTCGGGAGACTTCGCTGAACACAAATATTAGTTATTCAAAACAGTAAAACATATCACAGCGATGATATTGTCAGTGAAAGTGACTGCATTTTTCCACACACAAACAGCACTTTTACTGATATAATTGTTGTGATATATTTTCCTGTTTTAAAACACTAATATTTGTGTTCAGCAAACTCTCCAAGTATAACAGTACCTCCCATGTACAGAATTTATAGAGTTTTTGAAAGTTACAGGGTCAAATATTTACATTGAAAATGGCCAGGTTGGTTACGTTGCCTTTAAGAGCGTATGGTAGCCCAGGAATGAGAACTTCCCCCATGACAGCATACCATTTGCAAAAGAAGACAACCCAAGGTATTGCAAATGGGGTACATCCAGTCTTTTTTAGTAGCCACAAACACTGGCCAAAATTAGCATTCAATTTAGTTTACTTTTTCACACACAAACATGAACGCTAACTTTGGCCAGTAATTGCAACTAAGTGGCTACTAAAAAAGACTGGACATACACCATATTGAATACTTTAAATAAAAAAAAAAAAAAATATGTACATGTGGGGTGTTCAGAGATTTATGACAGATAAGTGTTACAATGTCACTATTGATACATTTTAAACAGCAAAATCCTACTTCTAGCTATAGCCCTATAACTTGCAAAAAAAAAAAAACGCATGTAAACACTGGGTATTTTTAAACTCGGGACCACATTTTGAATTTATTCAGCAGTTTTTTTCCCCCATTCGCTTTTGTAGATGAGTAAAAGATTTTAAGTAAAAGTCAAAAAACATGTATTTTTCTCAATTTTATATCATAATTTTTTTTTTTTTTTTAATTAAAATTACATGAGATTATATAAATATAATTTGTATAGGAACAGTAAAGAAGCGGAAAATTACAGCTAAACACACAAAAAAAAAAAAAGCGGCCTGGTCGCAAACGTACAACATTGCAAAAACAGTCGAGTCCTTAAGGGGTTAAAGTGTATATTTGGCTGTATTATGACGTGTGCCCTTTAAATAGTTAGCAAAACAAGTCTACAGGGAGCTTTCAAGGTAAAACTTTTTTGCGTTACAGTATATTGAAAGAACTGAAATTTTAATTAAAAAAAGGGACACTATAGTCATCCAGACCACTTTAGCTCAATTAAGTGGTCTGGGTGCAATGTCCCTCAGGTTTTAACCCTTCAGATGTAAACAGTTTCAGAGAAACTGCTATGTTTACATTTGGGGTTAATCCAGCCTCTAGTGGCTGTCTTCCGGACAGCCGCTAGAGGTGCATCTGCGATGCTGGATGCGAATTTCGCATCCATCGGAAAGCACTGAAAAATGCTTTCCTATGGACACTTTGAATGCGAGTGCGGTACTCTCTACTGATGTCACGGGAGCGGGACCCTGAGGGTGGGAGCACCCTCAGGGCACTATATAGTGTCAGATAAACTGCTTTGTTTTCCTGACACTATAGGGATCCTTTAAGAATTAGTAAATATCCATAGCAAGCATGACATTAATAAAATACAAAAATAAATATTCAGATGTGGATAAACAATCTTACCTGAAAGCTTCCTTACAACGAGTACTATCCAGCTTTGAAAACAGAAAATGAAAAACCACATAAAAAGCATCCTTGTTTGGTTTGTCAAACATGCTCCTAGTAAGCAGAAAAAAAATAAACGTTAAATGAAGCCACAGATGTGGAAATAGTCAAAACAACTAATTTACTGAAGAACTAAAAATGACAATACTTCATAGTTGCAGAGCATCATTGTATTTGTAATTGGATTTTCTAAAAGTGTAAGCAGATCAGTGAAAGCATTTAAAGAAGCACTGTGATAGATACAGAAGGCTCCTAAAGATTAGAAAATACAATACCTCAAGGTTTCAGCAGGAAAAAGTACACAATATCTGTTTCTATTATAGATTGTTTGGTTCTCCAAACCATTGTATCCTGTAATAGGTATTGCAATAAAAAATTTTTTTAAAAAAAAAGGGGTGTGGGGCAGGGGAGCTCAAAGAAAGCAAAGCAAGACTCATTAAATCAAGCTTTTCTATGCAACCCTAGTCACACCTACCCTGACAAAAACAGACTGCATTAAGAAAGAAAAAAAAAGTTAATTTTCAATCCAATATAACTTAAAAAGTTTCGTATTTCCTCTCTGTAAATTCAAGTTTTATCACATACAGAGCTCCTGCAGGGTCTAGCAAACTTAGACCATAAAATAAAAAAAGTTTTAAATTAAACAGAAGTGTAAACATTAGATGGCTCTTTACAGGAAATGTTTAGGAAGGCTGTGCCAGTCACATGCAGGAAGTTGTGACTAGGGCTGCATAAACAATGTAAAATTAACTCCTAAACTGCAGAGAGTTGAGACTGCAGGAGCATGATCTATAAACCAAGCCTACTTTATTAAGCTAAATTCATTGTGGTGATTATGATGTCCCTTTAATATGAACGGTGAAATTATGGTTGAACAGGTATACAGCTCAAATTTTTGGTTGTTTCAGTACAATTGGCTCAATCCTTAAAGGGTTATCATACATAAAAAGAGGCTGATGGCTATTAACAGAGCTGTAATGGGTTCTGAGGGCTCTGAAGACCATTATAAAATGCTCACCTTTAATATTAAGGTTTGTTACATGGCATTATTGTCTAATACGGTATGTATACACAGACTATAATTTAAAGGTACACTGTCACATTTTGGTTATAAAGGAATTGTTTAATGAATGTAATACGTAGCTTCTCATACAATGGAGATGCACCAAGCTATACTTACAGACTACATTGCAGTTAGATACCACTGAACAACATGACTACAAAACACGCACATTTATATACTGGGCTAGATATAAAAAGGAGAATATCCGGTAAACAGATATACAGATATATCGGGAGAGGCCCTGAAGCATACTCACACTCCAAACGTTACATGAGCCATGGTCTTGCCAGTCAAAGCCGCCTCCGAGTCCGGCTCAAAGCCCAGAGCCTGCAGGGCCAGCCATAGGTGCTCCTTGTGCCAGCCGGGCTGAGGGCGAGGGGCCGTGCTGCTCTGCATGACTGCCGCTTTCTACCACCACCACCTTACTGCCACCGGCTACCACCACCACCTTACTGCCACCGGCTACCACCACCACCTTACTGCCACCGGCTAGCCCCCTGACTGCCGCCTTCTGCCACCGGCTACCACCTTACTGCCACCGGCTAGCCCACTGACTGCCGCTTTCTACCACCGCCTGACTGCCCCCGGCTAGCCCGCCTGACTGCCGCTTTCTACCACCCCCTGACTGCTCCCGGCTGGCCTGCCGCCTGCTCCCGGCTGCTTTATTGCTGCTAACTCCCTGAGGCCCGGCTGTCGGCCCCCGGCCCGCTGTGGTAACACTGGTACCGATCGGGCGGAGCCGGCACGGCGAGGATTAGAGCAGCAGTAGTATTATTAGTAGTATCTGGTTGCGGCGGTGTCTAGATGCTGGATCTGGTTTCCGCTGAAAGGTGAGCAGCTACGCTCATGTTACCGTTGAGACCGATGAAGAGGAGTACGTGGTGGGCGACGCCATCTTTAACCAGGAGCCGCCAAAACAGCCTGTTTGCTTTGTCCTATCAGCGCTGCCCGTGCAAGGCGCGTGCATCCAGAAGGTTGTAAACGCTAGAGGTAGAACGCGGCTCTGGTTATGTCTCCAGATTCTAATGGAGCCTGGTAACGCGTCAGCCATTTTACTGGAGGCACAATGCGAAACAATTTATTTATATTGATTTATAAAATATTTTACCAGGAAAGATACATTGAGATTTCTCTCTTTTTTAAGTATGTCCTGGGTCCACAAAACATTGCATTGTTACATTATGGTACAATAAAATACAAAAACAATATTAAAGGACCACTATAGTGCCAGGAAAATATACTCGTTTTCCTGGCACTATAGTGCCCTGAGGGTGCCCCCAGCATTTACAATGCTTTCTTATGGACGCTTGCGTGTTCTCACTGTGATTTTCACAGTGAGAATCATGCAAGCGCCTCTAGCGGCTGTCAATGAGACAGCCACTAGAGGCTTTGAGGGCTGGATTAACCCATTTATAAAGATAGCAGTTTCGCTAAAACTGCTATGTTTATAAAAAAATTGGTTAACCCTAGCTGGACCTGGCACCCAGACCACTTCATTAAGTTGAAGTGGTCTGGGTGCCTAGAGTGGTCCTTTAATACACAATATATACAAGATTTTACATGTGACATGCACATACTTTTACACATAATTTAATATGAATAAAATGTAAAGTGTGAGAAATTAAGAAATGTTGTTTTCCTCGTGGCATTTTAACTGTGAATAGCACAATACCGTTAGCTTTTACTGCAATAATTTATACATATCTGTGTTCAGCGGTTTCGCAAATATAACCCCTATGGCTATGTACAGGTTTTATGGTGTTTTGGAAAGTTACAGGGTCAAATAAAGAGCTTGACAATTTCAGTTTTTACACATTGAAGTTTGCCAGGTTGGTTTGCTAGGACTATGTTGCCTTTAAGACTGTATGGTAGCCCAGGAATGAGAATTACCCAAATCATGGCATACCATTTGCAAAAGTTGACAACCCAGGGTATTCAACAAGGGGTATGTCCAGTCTTTTTTTAGTAGCCACTTAGTCACAAACCCTAACCGAAATTAGTGTTCATTTTTTTAATTTTTTTTTTTGCATTCACAATAAATACACAAAGGGGTTGGAGGGGTGACAAAAAGACACACAGAGGGACTGTGGGGACAAAAAATCCTGAGGGGACAGAGAGACACACAGAGGGACTGGGGCCTAAGGGGGTGACAAAGTCACACAGGGGGCTAGAGGTACATAGTAGTTTTTTTAGAAGCGTGCTTTTAAATTTTCTCTGCAAATCTGTTTTTAAAAAATTGAGGTTGGAAATTTTTGGTTTTGGGGGTGCAAGTAGCTGATGTTGCCAGGGGTGCAAAAGACTAGCACCTGCCCTGTCTACAATCACCATAATGATTGCATAAAAATATACAGTATCTTGCAATACAATGTATTCACAGTCCTAATTATAATCCACTGGCAAAAAAGAAAAGAGATCTTCAATAAATCAATTTGTGGCAAAAGTGTTAATAGGGGGGCGGACACGAACAGGCAAGCTAACTAGACGCACATTGCATGAGCTCCTGCAGTGTAGGCCCAAATTCTGCAGAAATCTGGAGATTAACTGCTGCGATTTCCCCACAAACCTGCCTGTGAGCTGGGGGTAAGCAACCACGAACATGCCTGTACCTAACTTGAAGCCTGACTCGACCGGGAACCGCAGCGGTAAAATGAGGCCTAGTGGAAGTAGGGGGGAAGGACGGCCTCCTTCCCATCGGATTCCAACTGCGGCACGCGAGTGCAAACACGCACCCCCCTATGGACCGGTGGGGGTTATCCCGGTCCCCGCCTGGCGGGCTATCCCGAACCCTGCACCAACAGACAAACATAAAGATCTCCATAAGAAACGAGGGGACAGGAGTGCCCAAGATGGCAGATCACTCCAACACGACAGTGTCCGACAAGTGACAGCGACCTCCGGATGCAGAGAACATCGGGGACCGCGCAAAAGATCCCATCACAATAGTCTTTGACCGCTTCTGGACCAAATTACGGGCACGCTTACAGCCCGCAGTGCCCTGCCAAACATCACCCATGAGGGTAAGAGCAAATGGCGGACGGGAGCATGGGAGTCCTCCTCAGGGCAACTTTAAGACCCTCGCATCAAATCCCCACATTTTAGGCCCTTCCAAGCTGAGAGCAAGAAGGGGTGTACCCCAGAGGCGCTGGCCACACAAGCGGAGAGAGGCAAGACGAATACACAAGCGACCCGATCTAACTCTCCGCACCAACCGAAAGGGCCGACCCTGGACCATGAAGGTTCCCAGGCTCGTGGCCTATGAGCGCCAGCTCTCCCACAGCTCTGGGCTGGAGAGGATTCCCGCAGCCGAGACACCGCGGCTCTGCACTAATGGGACAGAACTCTGGTGTGAGGCCCAGGGCTGGATGGCAGCCGACAACAGGTGGTTGCCGGGCCTGCAGCAACAAGACTCTCATCCTGGTACAAGCTCAAGGGAAGAACTCCCTCCTCACCACTGCGGCCTTAAGTGACTGCCTGGATGTCCTCATCCACACCAGACATGCAGGACTCTGCACGGCGAGGCAGCGAGGACAGCGACAGATGACCCCCAGGGACGATACGGACCTACCAAGCCGGAGCATCAGCTAACAGTGCCACATGCTAAGCGAGGTACCCGTGCCCCCCTTAGGACTTACCACTATATTCCAGCTGTTGATACCCAGGCAGACAATATTGTCAAGTTACTGCTAAAGTTCTGCCAGCCACAAGGGACTAGGGTCATATTAAACAGGGGTATCTTTCCCATGTTCTATGTTGTCAAGGAGATATCCCTAACATGTCTAATACTGGCAAACAAGGATCTCCTTTATTTGTTTTTAACTGGCAACCAGTGATATTTTTCATATGTTTTACAATGGCAACCAGTGACATTTTTATGTGTTATATTGACAACTATTAATATCTTACAAATGTCTTCTACTGGCATCCAGTGACAAGCTAAGTTATGTTACATTATTTTTACTTAGTGCAGCACCACCCTCAGCCACAACCTAGCCTGTGATTAACCATCGCTACACGTTTAAGCCTGTTACTATTGCAATCTGCGGGCACTCCTGTCAAGACTTAATCTGATTGTAGACCCAGCCTATGGAAAGGTATAATACACATAAAATGTATTGCTAGCATGTAAGCATGGCTCATTTCACTTGACTTACCTTTAACCCTTAACAAGCTTTATTTAACTCCTACCAGCGGAACATAGATCAGCCTGGTAACTCTTTTTGTTTAACACTCAACTTGTTCTGACTTTCAAAACAAAAATGTGCAAAATTTTCCAACTGCCATACCAATGTTAAGCTATGTTTATATATTTGCTTGCACCAGCTGTCGTGACAGTGCAAACATGTTTGTTTTCTCTATGCACAAATAAAATAAAGAATTATTTTTAAAAAGTGTTAATAGTGGCCTTTCAATAATCTTATATTCAACTCCAGCAAACACAGAAAGATTATTTGGGGCATTATAGGCACCCAGATCACTACATTTCAATTAAGTTTTCTGGGTGCCATGCCCCTGTAGTTTTAACCCTGCAATTCAAAAACAGCAATGTTTAGATTGCAGGGTTTAAATGGCTATAGTGACTGTCAGCCGGAAAAACTATTCTATCAAAGTCTCAAGCACAATCCGTATGGCGCAGTGTAGCATATGCACACTAGCCTCCCAATCCTTTCCTTTATCGATCGCAAGCAGGATGGAATAGTGGAGACAGGCACTGCAAGAGAGAAAATAGACGTTTTACTTACCGTAAATTCCTTTTTTCTTAATATGGTGGCAGTACAGGAGGGATGTTCCTTCCTTTGGGAAATTGTTCCCTTGATAAAGGCAATCCTGCCGAAATGGGGAAAATTTTGACTTTCTCCCTCTTCTCACTATTTCTGCTATTTTCCGGGTTTTTTTTTTTATGGTATGTATTTTTATGTTGGGTAGATTTCTTTTAGGTATCATTGTGACTTTATACTATGAATATCATTGTTGTATTTTTTGCTGTTTCTATGAATACATGTGATTGTTGTATACCTTGTATTTTTTGTATTGAGTACTGTTTTGATATTATTGCTAATGTTTTTGGCACAATCTTTGCGATACCTGGCAAATTGGAAACAATTAATATAGTGATTTTTTTTTTATTTCTATGGCTGTGCTCCTCATTCAGTATTATTTGTATATTGTTCAGGTCCTTGGGGAAATAGGACCATTGCGTGCGCATCATGCTTAGGTATTTTGCTTCTGTTAATATATCCTGATGTAATTCAGTTAGTGTGCTTACCTTTCTAAATTAGATGGTACCTTCCTTTGGGACAAGTCTTCTGAAAGATGTAAAGTTAAAAGGTCCCTCCTCCTTATGGTATAAAGCCACTAACCTGCCCAATAATCCTCAGTTTGTAGCAAGAAATAGACAGAGACACCAATACTGCAAAATATTTATTATCAAAAAGGGACAGAAACTTGTACTGCCACCATATTAAAGAAAAAATAATTTACGGTAAGTCAAATTTCTGTTTCTCCTGGCATATGGTGGCAGTTCAGGAAATGTATCTCAAGATCTCCAAAAACCAGGGCTGGAATTAGGCAACAACTGCATGAAGCACCTTTCACCCGAACGCAGCTTTAGAGGCCAAGAATATGTCTAGCCTGTAGTGTTTAATGAAGGTGTTATACGAAGACCAAGTGGCTGCTTTACAGATGTCTTCTGGTGAAGCTTGAGAATTTTCAGGCCTAGATGCGGCCGTGGCTCTTGTAGAATGTGCTCTCAGACATAGGCAATGTTAAACTGCTAGAGCAATAGGCCAGCTATATGGTATCTACAAGTCATCTTGAAATAGTGTTCTTTGTACCCTTTCTCCTTAGAATTTTCCCCCAAAATTTAAAAAAAGATGATCCAATTTTATTATTTTGGAGGAACGGTTCATATAAATTTTCAGAGATCTCCTTAGATCTACAATATGCCATGTTTTTTCTTGAAGAGAGGATGCACCACTACAATATGAAGGTAGTACAATCAGGCTGTTTCTAGCTTTTGACGTGTAAACTTTTGGCTAAAATTAAGGCTTTGGGAGTAAAATTACTTTTTCAGCGAAAACAATAGTGAAATCATCAGAAGCAGAAAAAAACTAAATCTTACTAACTTTTTTTGCAGATGTAATTGCAACTAAAAAAGGCGGTCTTAAGAGACAGGATTTTCAAAACGATTTCTTCTAACCGCTCAAATGGTGGATTACAAAGAGCTCCGAAAACCACAGATAAGTCCTATGTAGGAAAAAAAAAATTCTTTGTAGGTTTGTGAAGTCTGATGGCTTTAAAAAAAAAATCTATGAACAGGAATATTCGTAGCTAGATTTTTTACCAAAAAGTTACTTTGTGCAGAAGGTGAACTTTTAGAGTTAAGACACTTAGCCCATCAACCTTCAACCCATCTTGAAGAAAGCTAAGAATGGAATTAATTGAAGGTGAAATATGGAGACAGCTATGTTCCTTGCACTGATGTAGGAACTTCAATCAAATCCTCAAATATATTTTGGAAGTGGATTTCCTGGTAGAACCAAGCAATATATCAAACTTGTCCTCTAAAATGCCTTAATGCTGAAGATGTCAATATGGACATCTGAATTATATCTTCGTTCTCTATCAGTTGTAAAGACAGAGGAAGTTCCCAGAATGTTGAAGCCATAATTTTCAAGGCCGAGAACCAGCTTTAATTTGGCCAGTATGGGATGATGACCAGTACTTCAGCTTTGTCTGATCTTATTTTTTTGTAATACTCTTGAAATGAGGTTTACAGTAGGAAATACATAAGCAAGGATGAAATTCCACTTGATTGATAAACTGTCTATGAAGTGGGGATAATCTCCTCTGAATAGTGAGGCAAATGCATGAATCTTTGCATTTTCTTTTTCTCCTGGCCATTAGGTCCACAACAGGCACACTGAACGTGTTGACTGCAAGAGAAAACATCTTTGGACCATTCGTTTTAAAACCATTCTATCCTGCCTAGGTCATCTGCAATTAAGTTGTTGATTTCTCTTATGTGGATGGCTGACATATCTTCTAAAAATTCCTGGGCCCAGGCCATTATTTCTGCACACAGAAGGTGAAGAATTCTTATACTTGTACCTCCCTGCTCGTTTATGGAGGATAGCATGGTTTTGTTGCCTGACTGGATTTTCACAGACTTCCCTAAAATTACTGGTTTGAAGAATTCCTGATGCTTTTAATTCTTTGTAATTTGAAGAATGATCTGCTTCTTCTTTTGACCATTTTCCTTGGCACATGTCATACATCAGGTGTGCTCCCCAACCTAATTTTGATGTATCCATTGTGAGTATTATCCAATCTTTTTGTCAAAATTAGATAACTTAAGTCAGGAATTTTGACCTTATCTATCATGAAAGCTGAACTTTTCAATTTTCTGAGATACTGAACATAAAATCCAATTCTTCTTCTCTTTGTGATCAATTTGAGAGAATTTCCAATTATAAGGGGGAAAGTTTTTCTTATTGATCATCTTGACCATTGTTAAATGCCTGATATTTCTCTCCTGGTTTTCCACTCTTCATTGGAGTAAGATGGAAGGTCAGGGAATCTAAGTTTATCATAAACCTGAGGGATTGGATTACTCTTACAAGCTGTAATTGAGACTTTGTCTAATTGATGATCAATCCATGTTCCTTCAGAACTTTTAAAGTTATCTTTACATCTTTTATAAGTGAAAGTTTGTTTTTATGAACCAATCGTCTAAATGGAAAACAATGGGAATCAGGGATGTATTTACCACAAGGCAAACAAGACATTCGCCTAAGGCGGCACTTTTGGGGGGCGCCAAAAAAAAGCCACCCCAAACTCCCAGACAAATGCCTTGTTTGCCTCGTGTTCTGGGGCTGTCCACCTTATTGTGAGTAAGTGTGTGTAGCTGTCAGTGTGTGTCTGTGAGTGAGGGAAAGTGTGTGTGTGTCTTTCAGTGAGCATGGGTGTGCCTGTGAGTCAGTGTGTGTATGTAATTTTATGTGTATCTGAGAGTGTGTGCCTGTCAGTGAGTGGGTGTGTCAGTGTGTGTCTGTCAGTGAAAGTGTGTGTTGGTTATACAGTGTGTGCGCCAATGACTGTATCTGTCAGTGAGTGTATATCAGTGCATGTATCAATGAGGGCATGTGTCTGTCAGTCAAAAAAGTGGCCTTGATACGAATTGGGGGGACAAATTTAGATTTTGGGGGTGCCCGAATTTAGTTGTGCCTAGGGCAGCACAAATCCAAAATACACCACTGATGGGAACAACTTGTTCCTTTAGAACTATGGTTATAGGAGCTAGGACTTTTGTAAAAATCCTTGGAGTGAATGATATGCCATATGGTAGGGCTTTGAATTGGAAATGAAGAGTCTTCGTGCCTCTTTTTACTGCAAATCTTAGAAATTCTCTGGATGACTTGGCTATCGGAATATGGAGGCTAGCATCTTTTAGATCTAAAGTAGCCATTAGATCTTCTTCTTGTAGGATGTGAGTAACAGATACTATTGTTTCAATCCTGAATCATTGATACGGAATAAATGTGTTTATTTCTTTTATATCCAGTATCGGGCAGAATGAACAATCTGGTTTGGAAACAGGAACAGACATGAATATACCCATTTTTTATCTTTGGATTTCCATCGCCATATCCGGAATATAATTATTATTATTATGATATTTATATAGCACCATCAAATTCCACAGCGCTTTACAATGGGTGGATGAACAGACATGTAGTTGTAACCAGACAAGTTGGACACACAGGAACAGAGGGGTTGAAGGCCCTGCTCAATGAGCTTGCATGCTAATTATTAGACCGCCTTAGATTTTGTAGTAAATGCGAAAGATCTTTGTCTTGTTGATCCTTAAAGTGATCTTCCAAAGCTTGAATCCAGCAACTTTGAGGTTTTGCTATTGATGCTTCTGCCATATCAGCTCTGCATTGAAAGCCTACTCGATAGGCTCATCTGCAAAAGGTTTCTGCTCTTTTATCCATTGGCTCTTTTAACCCAGAAACTCTGCCAAATAGGAATGGTGGTCTTTTTAGAAAGTAGATCCACCTGTATGTCAACTGAGGGTAACTCTTCCCATCTGTCTTCTCCTTGCAGTTTGAAAATGTCCTTAAAATGTCTAGAAATCAAAGCAATTTTTTTTCAGGATTTTCCAATTCCCTTTGCACGAGTTTCACCAATTGTAGCATGCCTTTATTATCAACTTCCACAGATGATGAACTGCTGGAATCATCTTAAAATGAGGAGACTGAACATTCTCCTGATGACAATTCAGATCTTGAAGGTGATCTTTTTCATATATGACCTTTTGTAATACTGCAGGCATACTTGCTTTAACAGATTCTTTAAATAACTCAGATTGTCTTGGAACCAGGGTAAGAATGTATCCATCTCCTTTAGCTTAGATTTTTCTAGTATTAAGCAGGAACATTGATTGCAAACCTTTTTCTTTGTGCCATCTAGAAGAGGTGTAGAACACTCACTACATTCCAGATGACGTGATTTACAGTCAACCTTGTTAGGTACTTGATTTGGTTCTTTGCCCTTTTCCATTTGTTCTGGAGAAACAGGACTAGACATTTCTGCAATAGAAAACAATATTGAAAAATCCTTATTTAAAAATAAATGTAAATAGAAGCTTTCAACGTGGAGACTTAATCTCATCACAAAAACCTAACTATTCTTTGTTAGGAGCCAGGTTGCTCAGCTCTCCACCCAGGGACCTTTCTGACCGAATTACTCTGCACAGCATCCCACGTGCCTCCCCAGGACTCGCCCGTCCCTCGCTGGGGACAAAGAAGAACTGAGGGCAGCTTAGTGGATTTATACCATAAGGGGAAGGGACCTTTTAACTTTACATCTTTCAGAAGATATGTCCCAAAGGAAGGAACATCCCTCCTGTTCTGCCATGTGTGTATATATGACAGTTTATAATTTCCTTAACAGTTAGGTAGGTACATGAAGACCTCAAAAAAAATTTTTTTTTCAAAATAAATAGGGGGACAGGTAACTTAGGTGAGGATGATGACCAGTACTTCAGCTTTGTCTGATCTTATTTTTTTGTAATACTCTTGAAATGAGGTTTACAGTAGGAAATACATAAGCAAGGATGAAATTCCACTTGATTGATAAACTGTCTATGAAGTGGGGATAATCTCCTCTGAATAGTGAGGCAAATGCATGAATCTTTGCATTTTCTTTTTCTCCTGGTCTTGGGCGACTCCTGCTTGCCTACTGCCTAAAGTAATGCTTACAAAGGGAAGGACAGGGCAAGTTCTTAGAGAGCAACATGAGAACCAGAATGACTTCTTGCAGGAGTTTGGACAGACAATATGACAATGGAGAGATATGTTTTTTTTATATACTATAAAGTTAAAAAAAAAAAAAAAAAAACAGACTTCTAACCAGTTATTGGAAACAAGTCTGTGCCTTCCCATACAGTATATGAGAGTGACAAGCATTACACCCACTGAAAGCATGTATAATGCTCAGTGCCCAGCATGAGACTGAAAATACATTAAAGGGTTATTCTAACTACAACTTATGTCTTTTAGTTGTCATGGTGCATTTTACTATGAACTGCTACCCATTCGTGTTATACCCACCTATGGCACCAGTGTCATTTTTGTGCATAGTGGATGTCTGTAGGCACATATATTGAATGGCAGAACAGCCCACTCTGCAAAAGAGACTTTGCAGTAAAGTCTTGATATTAAATGGCACATAATCTTGATAGTTACTTCAAATTTGCACTCCAGTGACCCTTTAGAAGGTTTCTATTAAAGAGCACTCCAACCATTATGACCACTCCAGTTCTTAAAAGTAGCCATGGTGGTAGAAATCTGTATGTGCAGAGTTTCTGCTTCAAAACACCACACTTCAGTAAGATGTCCATTTTTTTTGCAGGTTGCTAGTTTCAGCTTTACTTAAGCAGCCTAAAAACTGTTTAAGTAACTGCACACTGCTTAGTTATATGATAATTCCACTTATCAGATTTGTACCAAGTTAGTTTACACTCCATTGACATGCGATGTAGCCACACTGCATGGGTGCCCTTGTTCCGTGGGTAAGATTCTACCCTAAATGGAGCCCACCACATACCTATTTGGGAAGGGGAGAGATTGTTCGATTTGTTCCATCAGAAAAGAATATTTTCTTAGGATACAGGTGATTACTGTTCCAAGCTGGATGATAATTCTATGTCTACTAATTTGCAGAGAGAACGAGCTATTTCTGCAGATTAGCTGTGGCAACATGCAAGAGGACAAGTGCAGTCTTATAGCCAAGTTAATGTTTTTGGCTTGTCAACACCACAAGTTTATAGAGAGACAGCAACTGAAGAGTGCCTAAACAAAAGAGGGCACTCATTTTGTTCAATAGATTAGTGCTTTAATAACAATATAAACTAAACCATAGCAATCCAAATTTAAGCTACAGAGAACAATGGCTTATCATAAACTTGTGTAAGAGTTCTACTAAACAAACAGTTAAGTTGTATTGCTTTTCAGCAGGATAAAGTATTGATTAGTAAGAATTTTTTTTTATATATAATATATGCACACACATTACACACACTACATGAGGGTGTTACAGAAAATCAGAGGGAGAGATAAGCGTCTCATGTTCTGGTATTGTAGCCATTGTTGAACTGCTTCAGATTGTTTCAGTGCACAGTTTGAACATATTGTTCCACATCAGTGTGACTCAGCTTTGTCACACATCTTGCATTTCCTCTGTATCAGAATCACCACTTCCAGATTCAAGAGCATTTGTGAAATCAGGTACCTGGTGAGAGAAAGCATAGACTATCAAAGCTGTTCAATATATAAAAAAACAGGCAGTAATTCGACCCAAAAAAAAATAATAAAAAAAAAAATTCCAGTTACCATGGCCACCACATGCATGCAGTAGTAATTGGCCTGAAGTGCCCTGGTGCACCCATTTATAGTCAGACCATTTGCCAACAGTTGGCCTGTAACAAGGGTCTACTGACAGTCAGCTGACTGCAAAGTGAAGGCCTTAGCTCACTGGCTAAGAGCAGATAGCCTCCAGCTCTCAAAGACAGCAGCCAGTGTTCATCCCAGGTGAGAAGTCAAACTGTTAGCAACTGGTTGAGGTGCAGATATGGCAAGTCTAAAGGGGGGAGGGAAACTAAAAAAAAAAAATAAATAAAAAAAAAAAAAACCAACAATCTGCTGCCATTCTTACAGTGGTGTTACATTTCTGTAGTACCCACCCCCTGTCAAACTGCACTCAATGATTTGCCCTGCTTTGGAAAGCTTCCACAATGACAGTTTGCCAGCAGATGAACTAAGGGACAGGATTCACTCAATCACTATATACCCTAGCTAGCACAAGTGTTGACTAGTGTTAGAGGTTTCTATGGGTGCAGTAAGACAGGCTGTGGGATGTTCCTTCTGCTCTGTCAGAATTTAGTAATATGGAAGAGATGGAGGGGGTGGAAGAGAAAGGAGAGATTTTTTTTGATGGGAGTGGGGAGGCAGATCCCTTTCACATGCAGCTTTTTACAAGTCTCACAATTCTCAAGATACATTAGATTTTGAGAAGCAAAGTGTCTTATGTTATTACAGACTATTCTAATTAGCAGAAACAGGTCTAAAATTCTTTATCCACTGACTTTCCAGAGGAAGACAAAAACCTCATCTAAAGTTACGCAATACCATTTAACCAACTTTATCTATTAATTCTAAGAAAGGCAGTCACTTGATTAGAGTTTGACAACTTTGGCAAAAGGGACCAATGGTTATCCATTATATCTCTTGCAGCATGACAAAGCCAGACACTTTCAGTTCAGCAAATATGATGCATATGACAACCACGTTAAAGGGACACTATAGTCATCCAGACCACTTCAGCTCAATGAAGGGGTCTGGGTGCAATGTCCCTCAGGTTTTAACCCTTCAGATGCAAACAGCAGTTTCAGAGAAACTGCTAGGTTTACATTTGGGGTTAAGCCACTAGAGGCGCATCTGCCACGCTGGAGGCATATTATGCCTCTATCGTGCAGAGCGTCTATAGGAAAGTATTGAGAAATGCTTTCCTATGGACACTTTAAATGCGAGAGCAGCACTTGCCACGCATGCACATTCGGATCCATTGACATCGGCGGGGGAGGAGGTCACCAGCGCAGAGGGAGCCCGGCGCTGGAATAAGGTAAGCTGAAGGGGTTTTAACCCCTTCAGCACCACAAAAGGGTGACCCTGAGGGTGGGGGCACCCTCAGGGTACTATAATGTCAGGAAAGCCACTTTGTTTTCCTGACACTATAGTGATCCTTTAAAATATCTAAGTTTAGCACATGTGCTGCTGCATGACTGAGAATTCTTAGGGCATCCTACAGGGGATGAGTCACTCGAATTGAGCCATGTTCTTCAGCCCAGCCAACACTACAGTAGCGTTTGTAGTGTTCCAGAACAATGAGCTGTCACTTCTCTGGAAGCAGCATTTCTTTAAAGGGACAGACCATTTAGTGGTCCTGGTGAGTAGACTGTCCCTTGAGGCTTTTCAATGTAAATGTTGCATTTTCAGAGAAGAGAGTTTACATTGCGGCCTAGTGTTATTCATTTAGACTGCCACTACAGGTGCAGCACAAGCTTTCAGAGTCTCCACGCTTTGCATGGAGGCGTTGAACATTTGCACACATACATTGATTCAGATTGGTGCATCATGGCATTTTGTTGTGCATCACTATCCAACCTCTAAACTTAGAGGGACAATCCAATGTCTACGTACACAAAAAAAAAAAAAAAAATGAGAAACACTGTTTAGTAGAGCATTTTATAAAATAAAACTAGCAAAACCTGCAGTTCCCTTGTCTGAAGGCTTTGGAAGCCTTACCCTTCTGAAATCAGCCCAGACTTTGGCCATTTAATCAGACTTCATGAGAAGTTTATACAAGGAAAGTGCTATGGTCAGTTGTTGCCAGTTTAGTGTAGCTCCACTGAGCTAACCAAGCCAGGATATAATAGGACCATTATCCAATTTACAGTTTTATAAGTTAACCTGTTTTCACCCCATGGCTGTTAATTTCTATTGGTATCTGCTCTCCCCGCCCATTCACACAAAGATTTCAGCAAGCTTAACGGTCTGGAGTCTCCCCTTTAAAAAGGCACACACACCACTTAATTGCATTGAGGTGTTCTAGGTCAAGTGCCTGTGTCCCACTTAGTCCTACTGTGGAAGTCATTGCAGTTTGAGAAACTACAACAATTACAGGAGTAAGACTGCCTCTAGTGGCCATCAGGCAGCCACTAGAGCAGGGATAGGCAACCTTTGGCACTCCAGATGTTGTGGACCACATCCCCTGTAATGCTGGCATAGCAATGGGAGTTCTAGTCCAAAACATATAGCGAGACGAAGGTTGCCTATGTCTGCACTAGAGCCACTGCCTGCTTGCTAGTTGACTTGTCAAATGGTCAAGACATTATAAAAAAGGTGATTCACCCCATTTCTGCAAGAGTGCTTCTAGTAGCTGTCACTATAGGCATTTAAACCCTGCAGTGTTAACATTGCTGTCCCAACAGATGTTTTTAATTGCAGACATGGCACTATCTCAAAGAGCAGCTCTGGGTGCCTATAATGTGCTTTAACGCAGTCAAAGACTGGTTAATGTGCAGAGGTACTTCTTGAAAGAATTACACAATTTAGAAAAAAGTTTTACAGTTTGAGTAAGATGTAACGTTATCAAAAAGAAAATTCTCTGAATTAGGTGAGAATTTAGAGATTAGCTGGTAGTCTAGCATCCTGATCAAAATGTCAGGTTTTATTTTCTTCTCACCCAAGTTGTGTAAAGTTAGCGGTTAATAGGAAGACCTAAGTTTGAATTAATAACTTCTTTAATCCTGTACAGGAGGAAGGCAACCAGGGACTTGCCCCCTCATCCTTATCAACTCTTTAGGCTGAGTGAGTATCAGACTCAGCCTGTCACTGGCATCCAAGCCTCTTTCTTGAGCAGGTCAGAGGCACAAATTCAGAGTTAAGTCGTTTTAACTCTGGGGGTTTTAAAAAGAAAATCTTCATTTAGATAAAAAAAAGTTGTGGGTGCAGTGGAGCTGGAGAGTCCCTTTAAGTCACTTTGTTTCAGTGGAAAGTGATCCACTTATGGATAAGTCAGTAATACCAATTTTGTCCAATACTTTTCAGAGAAGCATCAACATGCACAACAATTGCCACAATCTGCCAAATAAGTTAGTCTTTATGAAGATTAAGCAAGAGTCCTCAGTGTCACCTACTGGTTAAGAGCCAGCAGTAGTCTTTGAGTGGAAAACAAACTGCATGTGAAACCTTCGTATATATGCAAAGTTGTTAATGTGCTCTCACTTTAACACCAGGGTACCATTTAGAATACGAAGGATTAGAAGTTACAGTGCCAAAAAAAAAAGTTAAAGCAGATATTTGTTCCTACTCGACTTTGGTATTCAGTAGATTGGAACACACCTCGTATGCACTAGAGGGACAGTTACTCATTGAAGCTTTCCAGGGATATGAAGTGTGGAGTTTAGATCATTAATGGTTAGAAAATAAGAGTGCATTTGCTATAACATAGCTAGTCTTCTGAAAGATCTGAGATATGCATCTTCCTTCACATCCTACAAGTTTCAATTTAAAGGGACACTAGTCACCAGAACAACTACAGCTTATTGAATTTGTTCTGGTGAGTAGAATCATTCCCTTCAGGCTTTGCTGTAAACACTGTCTTTTCAGAGAAAATGCAGTGTTTACATTACAGCCTAGTGATAACTTCACTGGCCACTCCTCAGATGGCTGTAAGAGATCCTTCCTGGGCCATGGCTGCCTAAAATGCATCCAAACATTCATTGTCTCCAGCCTCTGCATGCAGACACTGAACTTTCCTCAGAGATTCATTGATGCAATTCATCTCTATGAGATGCTGATTTGCCAGGGCCGTGTTTGAATTGTGCCGGCTCTGCCCCTGATCTGCCTCTTTGTCAGTCTCAGCCAATCCTATGGGGAAGCATTGTGAGTGGATCAGGCTACCACTTCTGGTGTCAGCAGACTGCTTTTTTTTTTAGGCAAACAGCATGTAGAGTTACAACTTCTGGCTTGAATACAGTAAGATGTTGCTATATTTATGGATGCATGAGGGGCTAGATGGTGGTTTTAACACTACATGGTCAAGAATACATGTTTGTGTTCCTGACCCTATAGTGGTCCTTTAAATGAATCATGACAGTTGCAAGTGAACTTTCAAAGAGATATATATATTAGGTCACAAATCAAATGTCTCAGGGGGAGCAGCAGAGTAACATAAAGCAAAGATGTGGCATTTAAAGACTTTACAATAAAGTATTTATTGTTTTTAAAAATTTGTTATGCATCTGTGTCTTATACAATAGCAAAAGAGCATGTATGAAGCAGTGGTCAAGGTTACAGAGTATGTAGGATATGTACCAACAGTGGTAATATGAAACATTTCTGGTGGTGCTGGAATAGGATATTTCTGCCAATATAAAACTGACATTGTGCTGATACAGCAGGAGATCAGTTAAGAGGGTGGTGTGTACACATGAGCCCACCCAGGTGCTTAACAAAGTTAACTGGAATGTGATTTATTGCAAGTGTTCATTTCTGTCCCATCTTGTTCAGGTGTGCCTGCCCCATCACCTTGTTCACCATGGTGAGACCCAGACACCTGGGGGTAAAAGGGACCTACCAGCCAGTTGAGTGGTGTATTGTTGACTACAAGGTCCATCATGTCATCCATAGAATACTTAATTTCTCTGAGACGCATTTTGCTGCTGCTAACAAGCTGGGTGATGTTGCCGTACATTTGTGAATTGTGGAAGGTTTGGTACAGAGTTTTAGCTGTTGCAGCAACATACTCTGCTTTTTGTACGATGGTTGTAGAGAATATATTGTAGGGCTGCACATTAGACAGGAGGGATTGACAGGTTGTCTGAAGTGTCTTTGTCAGGTTTCTTCCAATGGCCAAGATGTGCAACTCTGACTGCTGTTAGACAAAAAAAAAAAAAATAAGGTCATTACTGGGGTGTTACACAAAACATTTAGGCAAATCAAGAAATTGGAAGTGGTGTACAATATAGCAAGTACAAGTTTATATCAGGCTCTAGATAGTCATTCACTGCTTACTGTGGAGTGACTTCTGTCACCTATACCATTTAGCAGCTACTGAAGTAGATCAGAATTACAGCACCAAGAATGAGGTTTACACCACTTTGCAATAATTTAACTGCAGGGTTTGTGTTTTAGTATCTGGCTTGTGCATCATGTCCGAGATACCTGCACATCTGTCACAGGTAGTCCCATTTCATGGGAAAGCAGGCCAATTGAAACAGGAGGATATTTGTTGGGATGAATATCAAAAGCATTTATGGTATGGGAAAACCAGATATTAATTACCTCAGCACTTTGAGATTCATCTTCAGCATGTTCATCTGAACCCTTTCTCCATTCCTGGATAGTGGAGTAGATTCTCTCTTCAGCACCATGAAACTTTTGGCTTGCCAAGGCAATCTAGACACAGGAGGTACATTTGTTATTTCTAGCATGTTGCCCAATGTTTAGGCATGACAAATTAGGTTGTGTGGTTTGTCAAACCACTCAAAGTGGGGAATGAAGGGGTGCAGTTAGATGTAATTAACATCTTGGAGAGGCTGTGGCCTCTGTGGCATGTACCTGCATATGTGGTAGGATTGCCCTCAGATGCAATCCTTTTGGAAAAGAGTGGGAGATGTTTTAGAACAGGTTTTCCACCACAGCACTACTATGAGAACCCATGGGTGTGCCTTGTAAATAGGTCCATTGACGGATGGACTAAGACAGAACAAAAGGCCTCTGCATAAGTTTACCTTAGCGGCTAGATGAGCCTTGCTCTGAGCTGGCGAAAACCAGTACTTCAACTATATCATTGGTAATTGATAACATGAAAGACAACTATCTTGGATATGGATAAAGCTGACAGCACAGGTGAGAAACTGCTTAAATGTGAAGGATTAACATTTTAATCCTAACATTTTAAAGAGTTACTCCAACTATCAGTGGTCATAGTGGTAGAAGTCTGTATGTGCAGGGTCTCAGCTTGAACACTGCAGTATTTGTAGTTGTGTGCCAGGCTAGTTGCACCACCAAAACAGGAGACTGGCATCCTGGAACAGATTTTTTTTGCTGGGCTGCCTAAAATTAAACCTGTGAATGCAATGTGACAAACATTAACAGAAAAAAAAATAAAAATTAAAAAACCCAAATTTAAATTAAAAACCCACAGCCCACTAAGCACTTACAAGGTCAAGTGTGTTATTCAACTGAGCAATAGTTTCTTGGCTTTTTGTTTTGGCTTCCACCACACGAGTCAGAGCTCTCTGGTAGACACGTTTGCGAGCTTTGGTAGACAGGGATCCAAGTCTGGAATAGTAGTTAGGTTTTTCTGTTGCCACTTCAAAGCCTTCGGTGTTCTTTGCTTCTATTAGAAAAAAAAAAAAAAAAAAATATATAGATATATATTTAGTCACCTGTCCAGGAGATCTTCCCAGTATTACATTCAGAATGAGAAGGTTCTGTGGTGCACGTTTTTGCTGCAAACGTAGGCACCCATACCACTTCATCTCAATCAACTGGTCTGGGTGCAGTCACCTGAACACTGGCTTTCATGGAGTTGAGGACATGCAGCATCTTGAACAATGCCCATAGTAAAGGATTGTCACCCACATTGTGGAAGGACGACGCATAGAAAAATCCAGCAAGAGGGACCTCAGCATTGCAGTCAGTACAGTTAAACAGTTTGTCAGCAGAAGAATACTACCGTGTTAGAAACCGTTTATTTTAACACTACTGCTATTTTAATCAGCATAGTGCAAAGCTTACATTCTAAATTTTGTCATAATTTAAAAAGGATTGCATGTTAAGATAATAGAAGCATAGGAATTTGTATATATTAAGGACACAGTAGAAAACAGCAGAATGACAAAAAGCTAGCATTCCAGCTTACCTGTCTCTTCTTGGGTCTCTGGCAAGTAAGATTCCAGCAGAGATTCAGTCTTCGTTAAGGCTGTATTAACTGTGCTGCTCACCTGCTGAGCTACACCACTTCCCAAAACAGTGTTAATGCTGCCATTCACAACAGCCTTTGTCATTGCAACACTGCCATTAACAGCACCTTTTGTTTTATCAACCATGCCAGTAATGCCGTTTATCAAAGTCTCCTTGGCACCAGCCACCAGTTCTGAGGCATTGTGTACAACCTTGGAGGGAAAGTTAATAGTTAACAGCAACATCTGTACAAGTTACCAGAAATGCAGTCAGTACTGAGGTCCAGATAAGGTTGCTAGCCACCTTATGCCCCTCTTACATACTGGAATTAGGGAAAACAAGTGGAAATAAATTGTGGCTACTATCTTCAACATATTAAATTTAAAAAAAATAAAAAAAATAGAAAAATTATTTTTGGTACAATAAAGGAACATAGCAAAGGTCATTTTCAGAAAAGGTTTATGAAAGCTGTGACAAGTCATGATTCCCTTTTATTCCAGAAGTTTGGTCCTTAAGGGGTTAAACTCCTATATGGCAGAGAAGTGAACAATGAAACTGCAGGGACAAGATCTACACCAAAACTGCTTCATTAAGCTAAAGTTTACTGTTAAGTTATTGCATTTGAATGGACCTTCTCCTCAAACTGATGCCACATGCCCCCCCTTAGCATGTTTAGACAAGAGGTAGCCATCTATATAAAGATGCAGTGCCATGACTACCAAGTCATTGTAATACATTTTAGAAAGTCAAATCACACTAATGTTAGTGGGCTCCTATGTCTGCCCTGTAAGAAAAGATCATTGTATCCATTTGCCAGACCCAAGGTTGCATTGTGTGTACCACCATGTAGTTTCCATATCCACAGACTATAGCACAGATTCTTGAAAAGAACATTATGTAGCTATCCTCCAAACTAGCACATGTTGACAAAAAAATAAAAAAAATAAAAATAAAAAACAGACTGAGTATTTGTGCTAGTCACACTGTATTCTTATTGCAATATTCTGGTAAGTGTTTTTGTACTTCACCTTGTCACTAGGCTGATAGAGAATTGGCAGTTTTTCCTCAATTTTATCCAGGCCTACACAAGCCACACTGTTGGCAACAGCAACTATAGAGAAAAAAAAAAAAGTTAGTGGGATACCTTAACAAAATTTGGTGATACACTGAAGGGTACAGTAGCTGGCCAGAAACTACTCAGTGCAGGGTTGTCAATGGATGAATGCATCAGTTGATTGCACTCAGACAATGAGTCAAGCCCAGCAACACTATGCTTTGAGAGTTTTGCGTTCTCCATAGAAGGCAGTGGTGCATAACAAAGCGCAAGTAAGTAGCAAGACTTGAGTTCTTACAGTTGGGAGGTGCAGGGTATCCAACGCCATAACTACTACAGTGCACTGCAGTTATGGGGTTTGAAGTGTTCATTTAACTTCTCGTAACTGCAAAATAAGCAATAGATATTTAAGGTAAGATCTTTGCTTTTGTGGTAACTCCTTGCTCTAGTGTGCCATTTTCAGAGTTTGAGTGTTGCACTATTGTTCCAATCCCCACTGCACAGGAACACTTTGCTAGCATGGCAAGTCTTCCAGAAGTCAAAATGCCGGTTTCACTGCCATCACAACAAAGTGACAGACACCGTTTGCATATTACATTAGCAAGAGTGAGAATTTTGGGGAATAAGCAATATAGATCTATGGCAACAACTGTACATTTAAGGAGTATTCAATTAAGGTTTACTCATTTGCTAGAAGTTTAGAGATCTTAGGTTGTGCTAAAAAGGTCAACAGTCCAACAATTGGGCAAAGTATTCCAGAGAGACAGTCCTTACAGTGTGCACAGATGTTTGGGGTATCATAGGGAAGCAAGAATGACATTTCAGAGGTGTTTTTTTACAACTTCCCTTTACTGCATTATTCACAAAGTACACACTGCTGCATTTATGTAGGTGAAGCAGCAGCAAGGAACACAAGCTTTATAATTAATTGGAGTGGTTTAGAGAAATTTTAAAAATTTTATGTTTACACGCGTCCACTAGTGGCTCTCAGACAACCACTAATGGCTTTGACTCATTGTAGGATATAGAAGGTCTTCACTTTATGACAATAAAGTCAATTAGGTGTTAAGCAGATCCCTTTGATGTTCTAAACACAGCTTGTGTTCCTGCTCCCCTCTGGAATAATTCCAATAAAAATACAGTAAACACTTACTCTGTGGCTCCAGTTTCTGTAGAATGGGTACAGCTCCTACCATAGCCACAGAAGTGATGGTCTTCACACCTTTCTCAGCCACATCACATACAGACTTCAAATATGGATGGTTATCTTTGGTGTTTACATAGGCACTTGACACCATGTTGTAGGTGGAGCTCACCAGAGGAAGGTTAATAATCCTGACCACCACATTCTAAAAAAATAAAAATAAAAAAAAATAAACCCACACAACATTACTCAAGTTCAACAAGAACAACTGACTTGTCTAAAATAATCCAGGGACAATATTAAATATAGCCAAGCCAGTTATGAAACTGGGTGAAGGTGGCATACCATCCATAATTAAGCAAGCCTTGGCATTCTATTGGACATGAAAGCAACCCTTCAGAACATTTCTGTCACATGCCCAGAAGACACATGTTCTATATTAAGGTCCATGCTTATCAGGGATATATATGGTACAAAAGGATTTAATGATAAGGCAGGCCACTGGTTTCCTTGATAACTACTCATTTTCTGTTACTTTGCCATAGAGTCATTTACCATGTTCTGACTCTACACCGTTTGTAAAGTGCCTTAAACACAAAACCCACCACTCCCCTAGCAGTGCCAACAGATGTCGCTTGAGTGCATAGTGTGAAACATAAGTCAACTTCCCCATCCCGAAGCACAGCAAGCTGCTGTACGATTTAATAGTTACCTGATGCACTTCTGCTTCTAGAGCCATCTTGTGAATAACCTAAAGAGAAGAAAATTAAAGTTGTATATTATATAAAATTTATATTTTTGATTCAGTTGCTCACTAATGGTGATAAATATATTAGTTTAGGTCACCGATAGTGAGCAGCAAAATGAAGGAACGTTCACACACACCCGCTCTAGAACATTAGAACGTCAATGCCCCAGTTGTAAATAATAGATCTCACCCACTCACAACCATAGAGAGAACCTGCGTTGTACATTACATGTAATAATTAGGCAGAAATCCTATTAAACCCCCATCAGTTGATTTCATAATTGACTGAGGACCGACTACCACCGCACCGCACCGCACCGCACCGCACCGCCCCGCCAGCCTACCCAGCTCCCGTACTATTTACCAGCTGTCCGTTATCAGTCACAGGAAAACAAGCGAATGGCGGAGATCCCAGGCGCTCCGGTATTTATACCACATGGCCACACCCACTTCTCGCTGGGGCGTGGCTTTCAGCCTTCTCGGCAGTCAGCTGACTAGTGAGCTGGTTACGTGATGTCACCCTTGGAAGCTGCTGGGGTGTGAGTCGTGAAAGGACTTTACCTCCCAGGCTGCAAGGGTCAGGGTTCCTCCAGCTATCAGAGCTGCTATCTGCACTCTCTCTAATTAGTGCTTAGTGAGATAAACAGCTCATTCTGGAACATCCTATACATGGGGAGATAGGGTTCCTCCAGCCATCTGAGCTGCTATCTGCACTTTCTCTAATTAGTGCTTTTTGAGACAGCTCATTCTGTACCATACTGACACTAAATAAAGTGGCCACAGGCACTAAGCACTGTGGCATATATGTATGGTGGCAATAGAGGGTTAATAGGTCAGTGTAAGTTCATGACCCCTGATCATCTTGTTGGGCAGAGTGGGACAAGTAGCTGGGCAGATTAGGCGACACAGCTGTTGCTGGGGACAAGAACTGGCTGATGATTGGTTGCTGTCAGTGAGCCAGAAAAAGAGCGGGAAACCAGGTAAGTACAAAAGGTGACGGTGCAAGGCAATCCCTGTCAGCTGTCTTTTCTACAGGATGGGAGAAGCACCGACGAACACGCACCCTCCCTCCCACTAATTGTTAAATGTGTTTATATGTTATGTCGTGGTGTTGGAAGCTTGGGGCAAAAGTCATCCTCAGGTTCAAGTTCTGAGGAAGGTTATGTATTAAATGGTTGTATTTATAAGGCGGTCAGGTTAGCTATGACTGACTGGCACTAAGTGATGGTGAAAGTAAAAGTTGAAGTTAAGTGAAAAGTTTACCTGAATATGTTACCGTTATCAAGTTACTGGTGATATGCCCCATTTTCAAGCTTTAATAAACACCACGGCCAAGCCCATTGAAATAAAATGAACGATGTCTGTGTTTATTGTGTGGTCTAAGTTATTTATGCGAATTATTGCCTACCAGACATATATATGGGGAGATACAACCAAATATTTAGCTAAATATGCCTCTCATTCCTGAGGCCTGATAAGTCATTTAGTAACTGTCTGTGGAATATATTGTGATGTTATATAGACTAATGATATATTAGTATTTTTTTCCGCTAAACTAGGAATTGTAAGGAACAGATTGGATACTTATCGATTTAGTACTAAAACCTCCTTTCTCAATTCTCCACAATCCCCATTTTTATGAAACACTTCTAATTTTTTTAATGGACACATATCTTTCTACATGTTAATGAGTTGCATCATAAAGACTACCTAGGGCTTGTTTCCAGTGTTGTCGCAACTTTTTATTGCCTATCACTACTTATAGAGAGTAGGGGCTGTTTGGTGACTGCAGAATTTAACAAGTAGCAAAAGGGAGATAGTAGCTGCTGCTACTTAAAGGAACTCTCCAGACACCAAAAAAACTTAATTGAACTGAATGTGTTTTAATGCCAGGAGGTCCCTGGTGCTGGCTTACTGTTAGTGGTTAAACGGTTTAACCCTAAAGTCTCCTTGCCAGCAATATTTCACTCTGCCTCTTCCAACATCCGCTTTCTGAAAATCTTCAAAATGTAGGCTTCATGCTGTCGTCCACTCATGCTCTAATTCAATCAGTAGCTCCCCATTAAAAACAAAACAAAAAAAAAAACAGCTTGAGAAACGTACAAATGTTTCTTAAGCCATTTGGTGGATCAGGAGCTACTGATTGGATTAGAGGCTGACTCAGTGACCCCCATGTCCATGGCAGTCTGACACTTCTGTTTGAAAGATATTCAGAAAGTGGACGTTGGAGGGGCAGAGGGATACGTGTGTGACTGTCCAATAACAAAGTTCCCAATGAAGCTCAATAATTAATATTTGCAAAGCACATTATTATTATTATTATTATTCCGTAGTGTTTTACAATGGGTGGACTAACAGACACGTAATTGTAACCAGACAAATGGATGCACAGGAACAGAGGGGTTGAGGGCCCTGCTCAATGAGCTTACATGCTAGAAGGAGTGGGGTATAGTGACCAGAAGGGTATAAGTAGGGGTACTGAAATAGGTTGCTAAAAAAGTATTCACTGAGAACTTAGGTTATTTTTGACAGTTGCAGGAGAGGAGTCATGGGGGGGAATGAAAACCCGCTAACAGATTAAATGATATGCTCTCCTGAAGAAGTGTGTTTTCAAAGATTTTTTGAAGGAGTGGAGACTGGGTGAAAGTCTAACGGAGAAGGGAAGGGAGTTCCACAGAAAAGGTGCAGCCCTGGAGAAGTCTTGGAGGCGAGCATCAGATGTGGGAGTACGTACAGAGGATAGACGTAGGTCTTTGGCAGAGTGTAGGGGCCTCAACGGGACATACTTGTGTATTAGGGAGGATAGGTAGGTTGGAGCAGCATTATGTAGGGACTTGTAAGCAAGCACCAGAATCTTAAATTGAGCCCTATATCTAACTGGAAGCCAATATAGGAACTGACAGAGGGGGGAGGTGTGGGAGGTGCGGGTAGACAGGAAAATGAGCCTTGCCGCCGCATTCATAATAGATTGCAGCGGTGCAATCTGGGAACACATTCAGTGGATTGCAGTAGTCAAGGCGACCAATGGCATGGACCAGCACCCAGAGGCGGCTCTAGACTTTATGAGGGCTTAGGCGAAACTCAAACATGAGGCTCCACTAACAAATAAGTGTCACATTAATGCACAGTTTACCTGTGTATGTGCCTGAGAGTGTGTCTGACAGAGAGTATCCTTGTGTGTAAATGTATGTCTCTGTGAGCATGTTTGCGTTTTTGTCTGAGACCCTATGTGTATGGGGTAGCTGCTTGAAGTGTGTATGAGGGGGTGATGGTGAGAGGGAGAGGCGGGTGATGGTGAGGAGGGGGTGATGGTGTGAGGGGTGATGGTGAGAGGGAGGTGATGGTGAGAGGGAGAGGGGGTGATGGTAATGTGTAATTTGAGAGTGAG